CAGTGGATGGATTCATTCGAGATATGCCATCGATGTGTGGAGTATGTTTACGATTGATATTGTGAAATTTCATTTCTTCCTCTAACACTAAGCAGAATTATTTTTTGGATAGCTTTATGATTAGAACACAAGGTGATAACAGATTTGGTCAATGAAATCAAGTTTTTGGTGAAACTCAAAGAAAAATTTGTTTTTTTCCTTAATAATTATTTAAAAATGAATTCGAATGCTGAAGTATACATATGGTTGCAGTCAAGACAACGTACCTGAGTAATTTTAGACAAAAATAAATTTGCAGATACTCATACTACTTAATAGCAAAAGCAAGTAGCAAGAAATTATCGTCGAAAAACGTTTGTTGTTTGTTTACACTTGAATATTGAACTTGTTTAGAACACTATTTTGTGGTTGATATTTCACACACAGTTTATTGCTGTTAGTCATCACCATGATATGAGTAGCGTTTCACTGCTTGCTATATGAAACAGACAGATCTAAAATCTAATCATACTCTAGCCGAGTATCCAAATATAGTCTTCATGTATTTCTTAGGGTTATCGAAAGAAATTATGAGATAATGTGGAATCAATGAGAGTCACTTCCACTGAAGAGTGAAATTCACTACTACTCACAGATTAATTTTGATGACAAACATTTTCTTGATGTTATCATACTCACTGTCTTAAGTCTTGTGTACTTGGTTAAGCAAACGAAGAATAAGAAAATGGAAATGATTTTGATGTTATAGTCTACAAGTCTTCGTCGTTGGTTGAGTCGAATTGATTAGCCATTATTGAGAAAATGGGTTGCTTTATGGATACTTCAGTATTTCAGGTATTTTCAGTTTGCGCTCGGGTTCGAATGCAGATGGAAACATCATAACTCATTGTGAGTCAAGTTCATACACCTGATGAGTCACAAGTATTATGAAATGAGCATCCTTAATTCCAAGCACTAAGGGGTCGGAAAGTCAATCACTTTATAAGACTATATTTAAGGTTAAAATAAGAAGGAGGATCAATAAAGCAAAAATTAAAAGTACAATAACGATAGGTTCAGAGTTGAATTTGACCAAGGAAGTTCTTATGTGATGCATTTTTGTTTCCAGCATTATTTAAGTTCATCAAAACTAATTATTTGTGAAGACACTTTGGTTACAGGCAATTGTAAGGAAGGCCTGTTAGACTTGGATTTTATGGTCTGTGGAACATATCACCTAGGCATATCTGCAACCTCAAAGGAAATGGTGTCCATTGAGCTGTTCCGACGGCAATGAATTGGATTAAATGCGCTGATTAGTCACTGGAGAGCATTCAGTTTCATATCTGGTTCTGAATGGTGGCCAAATCCTATAGATTAATGGGATGTGATGCTATCTTTCACCTGTCTCAAAGACTTCAATGCGTATATATATATATATATATATATATATATATATATATATAAGCTTCAAATTGCCATTGATCTGAATCCTAGCTGCATAGTTTGTTTTCCTAATGATACAGTGAGCACTAAGTCTCTGATTGACTATCAAGCTATTTGTATCACCAGTATACAAAAGTCTAATGAATACATCTTTCTTTAAGACAGAGTGGATAGTATTGCTTAATAATCTCTTCACTTTATTTCAACTTGTATACTCCAACTGGTCTCAACTAACGTCTCCATCAATAATCTTGTCATTCCTTTCAACATGTTGGTTGTGCTTATTCATTGAATTCGATTAGGTAAGTACCTCATTAAGCCTCGTTTGTATTGAAATGGACAGAAACTGTGATAAATTAAATACTATCGTGTCCATATAGGCTTTCGATAGGTGAGTTGTTCTATTGATCCATCTTGCCGTCAACTAACCAGTATGTCTTGTTTACGAAAGGCAAGCAGCTGAAGTTGTCTTCTATACTTTGTTCAATTTATTCAGAAGTAGTAACAGGGATTATTACTTATCATCAGGATATCACTCATATAACCTTTATATAATAGGACTTTTTCAATAAAGTCCTCAGACAACCTTTCAACATGTTAAACATAAATATCTTTCAGACAATTAAAGATTCTCATTTCATAATTGCTAAAATTTAAAACTAAACAAAGAATAGTAGTATTCATTACGGACTAACATCAGTTGGAAAACCATTGAAAACCTTGGGGCAATGGACAGCTGTTTCGTCGTAATACGGGACTCCTCAGCATACTACACACCTGCAATCCTGCCCTATAAGTGATCGAACCCAGGATCTTCGACTCTTAAGGGGAATGCGTCGATTGTTCAGACGCTAGGTGGGAATTCAATAATCTACAGTTTCCTAATCCTGTCTATTCGCGATATAGCACGACTATTATCCAAGGTCTTCAGTTGGCATCCGCCTCACTTCTGACAGGTTGATCCCGCTGATCATGGATTAGAATTAGAATTTTGGGGTATTCATTTCGCAGCATTATTATTATTGCTGTTTGTCCTTTGGGTTCTTAAAGGAACATAGCATGCCGCCATTTCACTTTCTTCTATAAAGTCTTTTCAGCATGGATCCACAACTGCTCAAAAGCTTTCTTTTCTTCCTCACACCATCTCCTCCATGTCACCCTCACCTCGGACGCCAATCTAGTCGTTTCCTATTTGGCTTCCACACAACCGCCTCACCTGGCATGCCCTGACACATGATGTCCCCAAACCATCTTCCTTCTCAGTGTATGTCTAATCTAATCCATCTCCACTTCCTTCCACTCCATATTTGTTGGAAGATAGGTTTTTGGTCAGGTGGTTCCTTTTCAGCCAGACCAGAGTGACTTCCTTGTTGCTTATTCTCATTATTCTGGTCATCTGATCTTCAACGTCAGTATGGAGTGAGCCAGTGTAGGTGGCAGCTGTTGATGATGTGTGTCTGTAGTTTGTTGTAAATGCTTTCCGTGATGCACCAAGTTTCTGAACCATGACATATAAGCAGTGAGTTGAGTGAATTAGTGTTGTAAATCGGGATGTTGCTCACGCTTTATGCTGACTGGAGTTTAGTGCAGTAGAATTCCACACTGATATTAGATTAATGAGGGCTCTGACATCCTCATTTGTGCCGCCGGCTGTAGTTGAAACGATGCTGGCCTGCCTAGGTAGATGAAAGAGACAACTTCGTTTAGATTTCTTCTGTTGATGGTGATTGGTGCTTGTTACCACTCACCAATGAGTACTATACAGCCATGTGTTTTGAGGTTAATGAGGATTGCATTTTTAAGATAGTATTCATCAAAGGCTCCAACCATGATGGCATACTGTTGAAGGACCCATACCAAGGTGAAACAACTATTTAGTGCTCTCAGATTTTCAATAATTCTACAACTGATATGAGTCCATGATGAATACTATCTTCATTAACCTCAAGATATTCTACTCAATAACTTCTCATCAGGTTGCTCCATATTTCTAAAGTCAATTTCGTTAACATAGTGTAATAGTCAAAATTGTGCGGTGGCTGGAGTCTAGAATGGGTAGGGTGCTTTTTTCTAAATTCCTTTTCTTATTAGGACCTGCTAATCTTGATTTTGCTCGGTTATTCTAATTGACCCTGGCTAGTTGACTAATTTGACCTATGTATTCAACTTCACAGTCATTGCAAAGGACTTACTAAACCAAATTATTCTGCTTAACTGCATCGATAGGATCTTTTAACCTACAAAGCTTATTTCTAAGCGAGTTTTTTTATTTATATGCCACTTTAATCCCAGCCAACGTAACTGAGAATTCTTCGTGATGCTTCCGAGGTGTCTTCCTTGTATGCTAACACAGTAGAGGCTTTGAATTCTCTCTTAACCCTGTCACCAGTATTACTATTATTAGTGGAATTATTACTAACAACACCTGCGCTACTACTACTACCACTGGTGGGTGATATTTTTCTTTTGGTTTCCTATAAACTTAGGTGGATAATTATTGAGATGCAAGGTAATCTTGATGTGTCTAATTTCTTCGTGCAGATTTTTTGACCTACTCGTAAACATTTTTGCCCGATTATTTTGATCTTTAGTCAGGCCTACTCTAACTGAGATAAGGTGACACGATATAAAACCTAAGAAGCGATTCGAATGGGAAGGTTTCCTATAGATATTAGTCTCTACACTTTCATCTTGTTTCCGTTCAATCTTTCCATCCAACATTGCTAGCTGACTTTCATCACTTTCCAAGTCATTGGTAAATTGGATTGTAATATAGCACAGTACCAAAGTTTTGCTCGTATATGAATATACTGACAATATTGTCTTTTAATTGAGTCCATTAACTCCACTAACCACTAAGCAAACTTATGTGTTAGTCATCTATGTATTGACAACACAGAGGTAGATGAAAACCAGGTTTGTGTATTTCTCACATTTCAGCCATATAGCTGTGCGAATTTCGATTCCAGTGACTTTAATGTGTCAAATTTGTCCTTAATGATACTGTTGAAAGTAAGGAGTTTCATGAGGCTAGCCGTCATATTCCTGTGACATTTGTACATGTTGTGAAGAAGAATCTGGACAGCATTTAGTGTTATCATGAAGAATAGAGAATATGTTACATTTGTAATTGGTTTTGTTGATGATGAGGATTCCTGAAATATTGACAGATCTGAGCGTGCTATTAGATATCTGAATTTTGTCATAGTTCCTTCAGAGCTCTGGAATATTCTGTCTCAGGTAACCTTTAGATTGTTAGTGAGCTATATCTACAGACTTGACTTTCAAGCAATCCCGATCATCATTTGAGGTAGAAACCAGAGGCTTAATTCGGTCATACACACTTCTAATTCCTTCATTGATAACCAGTCTGAAGACTTTACACAAGGAACTCTATATGTTGGCCCAGGGGATCAAGGTTCTTTCTAATAACTATACCAGATTACTCTTCGAAGATTGATGGGCACTAAATAAATATATGCTATTTATCGTTGATTGGATTCTTGAACTGCTTTTACATATTCACTTATTTCTTTTGAGAGTAATGTGTTTCAAATTTTGTTTTTTGTTCACAGATTGTTTTAGATCAGTGTATTAAAGAGATTGGATCAAAAAATACTCGTGATCATGAGGTAAGTCACAGACCTGAACTTCGTTTGCTCAGCAGGTTTGATACTGTTCGACAACTAGGATTGCTTAGAAATGTGTCGTAATCCGAAGCCACTGCCTACCTCAATACAAGACTTTAGATGGGATACGATTAGTTTGTAAAAAGGCTAAGAAAGGCCAATCCAAGATGCTTCACGACTTCATGAGGTTTTTAACTGCTTTTCTGAAGCCTGTAAAATGATGTAGGCTATCTGAGTCCCTTCTACTCACATGCAGTTTGGTCTGTCTAAGGTTTTACTCTAGTTTTTGGCTCGGCTACAAGTTCCCGGTCGGACCATATTCAACATGGATGTAATTATCCAAAAACCCGGGGGATCGGTCTCCTTGAGAAGCAGGAAACATCTAAACAGTACTTCTATCTGAAAACCAGCACTCTTCCCAAAGTATTCTGTTAACGCCCGCTCTGAAAACTGATCAGTGTTATCATAAAATCCGACTCTAACTTTCAGGCTTCAGTGCATGTACATTGGCTGGGTAATCGGTTCTTGAACCGTGTTGACTTCCTTGTGCGCAGAAGTAGGTAGGACACATTTCACTGATTCTCGACAATATTGGACATGCAAATCCAGCTCACCTGCCCCAAGAGACAACCCAGTACCACTATATCCATTCAACTTAGAGGCTCTCTCCAGATTGCTGGTATGCTGCCAAGGTTAGAATAAACAGTACCGGGTTTCTGGACCAAATACCACTCTCTACTGCAAGGTAAACTACATTCATGTCTGAGGACCTGTAGAACAACAGCGACTTTCAGAACTAATAATTTGGACTCCCGTTACTCTTCGGTTGCCCCACTCCAAGCCTACTGGGTGAGATCCTGAAGGCTATGCAGATCATCTGGGCATTGGAGACCCGCTGGACTAACCCTGCGCACATAAATCTCGTTCATCATGACCACCGCCACGTCACTTTTGACGGTGAATTTGCTGATATCCAGTGGAGCCACAAGGAAGCTTACCATCGCAACGTAACCAGGTATGACCCTTAATCACCGGTCCACCTACCATCTCCAGTCTTCTAGACCAGTGGAATAAAAAACCAGAGCCATTTAACTGTGTCGTATAGACAGTCTTTGCTTTGACGCACTGGCACTTAACTATGGAACGAATCTACGCCACCATAGGAAAGTCATATTGGCTGATGTAATTTTATGTCAGGTTCCATATTGATTTATATGTCTGTTTGTCTATCCTTACTGTTCCCCTGAAATATATTCTCTTTTAGATAATATATGACTTCACTATCCTTCAACGACCAATGAAATTACATGATAAACCACCACAAAATCCTATGAAACGGATTAAGGTAAAAATTTACTTACTTCTGCCTCACATTCTACATTTGAGGTGTAAATTTCTAATAAGTCCAGTTTTTTAAATAAGTGTTTAGAGAGAATCATTTTCTTTGTTTCGGTGAATAAACAAGTTGGCGATATTGAATTACGATAAACAATATGATGAGAAGACGAAGTTTATCTGAACAATCCGATGTATTTGCGTAATACATTTCAAACAATCTCATTCCTCACACATTTACTTGTCAAGTCAATATATATTAAACCGAGGACTGGGGAGGGGGGGACAAATACAACAATTAACACAATAGGGGATTAAAATTAAGGAAGAAGTGACATAGTTGATCCTAATCTTGGTGAGAAAACAAAGTTTACCAAGATTAGGATCAACGATGTCACTCTTCCTTTTTGTTCGCATATTTCTTAATTTTAATCCCCTATTGTGTTAATTGTTGTATTTGTCCCGCCCCCCTAGTCCTCGGTTTAATATATATTGACTTTTTGGGGGAGTTGTGGAGATTTGGAAACATCTCAAGTTGTTATTCATCGCAAACTGACATCAGTTGGAGGAATAATGGAAACCTGAGGGCGCTGAACAGCTGTTTCGTCCTAGTGTGGGACTCCTCAGCAGTGCGCACCAACGACCCCGCCCCACCAGGGATCGAACCCATGACCTTCGGGTTTCGCGGCCAGTGCGTTACCATTGAGCCACTGGGTCGGAATCCAGTGATCCATATTTCCAACTTCTATTAGCTCATGATATAGCACAACCTCCACCCAATATCATCTTTGAGTAACTGTCCTCACGACCATCAGGCTTTGACTGCACCGGTCATGACTTCTCATTGGAACTTCGGGATATTTCTGGAAGCTAGTCACTAATGAGCACCAGTTCAGTTGAATTTTTGAGGGAGTTGTGGAAATTTGGAAATTTTTCAAGTTGTCATGGGTGTGCACTACTGAGGAGTCCCATACTAGGACGAAACAGCTGTCCAGTGCTCCCAGGTTTCCTTTGTTCCTCCAACTGATATCAGTCTACGATGAATAACAACTTGATATATTGACTTGACAAGTAAATGTGTGATCAGATTGTTCGAAATGTATTGTGCAAATACATCACATTGTTCAGATAAACTTTGTCTTCTAATCAAGCTATCGAAATTCATAAAAGGGACTTATTGTTTCAAATATAATGAGAAGTAGAAAATCACAGGAAAATAATTATTTGTATTAATGACAAGACTTGGTTTCAGCGAAGAAACACTTTTCTTTGCGACGAAGTCATTTACTAAGCTGTACATTCTTGAATATATGTTACAGTGGGTGAAATGTTGCAGAACTGTTTCCGGTCAGGAGGCAAAATATATTGAATGACGAAAGGAAGTTAATTAATACACATTTGTGTTTAGAGTGTAATACAGCATGAATGTATGGCAAAGTAGGAAACCGAACGAAGGGTCATAAAGACAAAATTGCGATTATGTAATACCGGATAAACCTTTGACAGAGTATGAGAATAAGCAGGGGATCATGAAAATAAGATTGTAATTACGTAGTGCAGGTCCAGTTTGATAAAAAAATGAATCTGTGGAAGATAGGGCTTTATGATGGCCATGGCAAAGATAAAGGTTGGACGTACCTTAATTGCACGTATAACACTGGTTTGAACTTCTGGATGGCTAATACTTCAGCTACAGAATAGTGTCGATTTTTATTAGTAGTAATAATGAAGGAAACAGCAAGACTGAAATGAAGGAAGAAATGTTTATTGTTGACATCTTGTACAAGAGTTATCAAATATTGTACACAACCTTCCACTATAACAGTCATTTGCATAATGTGCTCCACTTCCTTTTCTGCTACTATCTTGATTTGCTCTTGAACACCCACATTGCAACTAGCCTCCCTCGTCCTGTAAACACCTGAGTCATGGAATGCGGTTAAAATGTGCACCCTCGATAAGGGGTTTGTACGGTGATTCGAACTACCATAGCCAATAGGTCAAAATACTGAGTCCCTTATTGGATAACGACGCATTTGACCATATTAAGAGTGTCATAGTTACTTCATCCAGTTCAATAAGATAAACATTAGTAGTCCAAGTCACTACTTCTTCTGATGTGTACTTTCAACGTGCATTTCAGATTTGACAGCAATATCTACAGGCAGATGGATGGATTGAAAGTGGGGTTATCTTTATGATCCTTCCTAACTAACTGCTTTATGGCAAGCCAAGAAAACACTAACTTATCAACACCAATCAACCAGCTTCATATCTATAAAAGATACACAGACGATGAAGTTACTGTTTGCAATAGGGATACAAACTCTAAAAATCTGCTTTAAAATTTCAGTAGTATTCAACCATCTATTTCCCTAAATCTACAAGTAGAGATAAAGTCGAAATTCCACTTTCTTGATAACCAGGTAAAAAGAGATGAAAATCCAGGTCATCAGACGGGTAGGTTCATAATTGTTAAAGTTGGATTCTCTTGAACAGGAATAGAAATCTTACCAAGTTGCTCTTCTGATGAATCAGAGAAATATCCACAATAGATACTATTGGTAATGAACTAAACAGCCTGCATGAAATTCTCATAGGAAATGGTTACCCACTGAAGTTAATCAATGAGAATATAGGATTGAAAGACAAAATGGAACATTTAAACATGTTATGGGAGTGATTATACATGAAACATCTTCATGAAGGAAAATATCAAAATACATATAAATGCATAAATACAACATTTTTTGCCGCTATCTAAGAATCGAGTTCTCTTATCAGAAATTTACACATCAATACGTAAACGATAAAGTGGAGTATCATGCCAAATTAATGTACATGTGTGAACATTAGTTTACTTACTTCTGTGGAGCTCAATGTATCGGCTATGTAATACACAAGTCTATACTCCTTGCTTGTGAACACTAATCCATCTAACTGACAAGAGATAGAACGGAAATGTATCTTCAACTCTGAACACTTGAAGTTTTTCAATATATCCTTTAGAATTTTATATAAAGTAAGAATAAGTCACTTGAAAGGAGTAAGATGATAACATCTGAGCATATCTGAAACATTAGTAATTCAAAATTTCAAATCATTAGGGTGTATTCAAAAGAAGTACGAACATGTAACTTAAAAAAATGTATAATTATGTTTGATTCCTTTACAATGTAGTTACATTTCATTTTCGAATCATTTGTTTACAGCCCTATTCTTCATCAGCACATATATTATATAACTTTCCTTTCTACACAATATATCTCCACCCTTGGTACCTATTTATTCTGAAATGTGCTGTCCTTTCTACTATATGCATATGGATGTACAACTAAAAGGATAAGAAGCAGGCACACACAGCTGATGAGCCCCAAATCGAACGAAACAGGCGTTCTGCATTCCACTACTAATTACCATCGATCATTTATACAAGAATTATGTATAGTTATATCAGAATAACCTGGAGAGACTAAAACATGCTCCTGATTCAAAATAACGACCGAAAATGGACGGCTTCGGTAAAAACAAATCATGTGCTATGATAGAATGTATAGAATGGCAGTCAACTCAACCTCAACTTCATCGATTTTAAAAAGATCTTCGATAGCGTTGATCAAGAACTAATTAAGCAGCTACTTCAACAACACGGTTTTATTGCCACAAACCTTTATTAACCACATTCAACAGCTATATGAAAACACCACAAGCCGAGTGATTCACAATGGAAATCTCAGTGATGCCTCTGAAGTGAAGACAGGAAGAAGTAAGACAGGGATGCCGCTTACTATCACCTATCATCTTCCTGATTGTGGTCCACTGGATCTTGCAAGAAACTGGGGAGCTGTGAGAAGATGGGCATACGCTGGCTGGACCGATGAAAAGATCCTAGAAGAAGGTTTAGATTTCGCCGATGAATCATGTGTAATGTCGCACAAGGCCGAAGATCTATAGGTGAAAACTGACAAGTTGGCAGGAGAGGCAGCAAAACGGGACTTCAAGTGAACGTAGAGAAGACAGAGGTGATGAAGATACCCACCAAACAACAACAAGAGGCACCAATCACCATCAACGGGAGAAATCTAGAGGAAGTAGTCTCTTCCACCTACCTGGGCAGGGCAGTATCGTTTCAACTATAGGCGACACAGGCACACATGAGGATGTTGAAGCCAGGATCGGAGACAGCAAGACAGGCCTTCCTGCATTATTCTGAAATCAGTGTGGAGATCTACTGCACTGAACTACAGTCAGCATAAAGCGTGAACAACATCCCGATTTACAACACTAGGTCAGTCAAGTAAGGCAGTGCTTCTATGCGATGGTTCGGAGACTTGGCACGTTTCAAAGAGCATTTCCAACAAACTACAGACACACATCATCAACAGCTGCCACCTACACTGGCTCACTCCATACTGACGTTGAAGATCAGATGATCAGAATAATGAGAATAAGCAACAAGGAAGTCACTCTGTTCTGGCTGAAAAGGAACCACCTGACCAAAAACCCATCTCCCAATAAATATGGAGTGGAAGGAAGTGGAGATGGATTAGATTAGACATACACTGAGAAGGAAGATGGTTTGAGGACATCATGTGTCAGGGCATGCCAGGTGAGGCGGTTGTGTGGAAGCCAAATAGGAAACGACTAGATTGGCGTCCGAGGTGAGGGTGACATGGAGGAGATGGTGTGAGGAAGAAAAGAAAGCTTTTGAGCAGTTGTGGATCCATGTTGAAAAGACTTTGTAGAAGAGAGTGAAATGGCGGCGTGCTATGTTCCATTAAGAACCCAAGAGACAAATAATAATAATATAAAATTATCAGAATAACACTGCAACGTTGAAATATTCTTGTATATACTGAATTCTTTGCAGACATTTCAAAGAGGTGCCAAATGATTCCTGCTGAAAGTGTTAGACGTTGATCCAATCTTAAAGTCATTGAAAAAGGTATTTCCTCGCCTGTAAATATCTTCTTCTGCTAATGTTCAAACTAGGTAGTGGAGAATAAGTTGTGGCTTGTAAGGCAATGATAAATGACTCATTTTAACATCTAGATGTAGTGACGATAATAGAGAACATTTTTATTCCAAAAGGATGATTCTAGTAGTGACAGTTGCACCGATAGCAAAGTGGTAGTGTTATTACCGTGCTTAAAAGGTGAAAGTTTACCCAGATATCATGTTATACAATCTAGTTTCTTTCAGTAAAATCGGTAAGAAGCTTCATAGTGTTCTGTTACATCTGACCATTTTTCAAATGTTTTTTGTTTACGTAGTAAAACAAAGTCACTCACATGAATTGAACATTTAACTCTTACTAAGTGTACTAATGCTGCTATTATTGTGAATATGATTTTATTTTTTCCAAAATATATTATTCAATAATATTTATTTATTTATTTTTCAGTTGATGGTTGAATTGAAACGTGAACAATTGTTAATTCATCCACTTTGTACAGCTTATTTAGAAAGAAAGTGGTAATGTGTTTCTTTTTGTTTTAATTCATCTTTATATTAATTGGGTGGTTGATTTAAATGCTTTTATTTAAAAATGATGGTGTCTACCGGTATCCAGCATGTTACCCGTAAGCTTTATGTGGTGTGCTTGATATTAGTGGTCATTATTTTTTTCAAATAAATCTGTAAAAAAATACTACAATAAATGAAGAAATTAATTAAAATTAACCTCAGAATTAATCCTTCTACATAATATTTGAATGAAATGGTGAACAGTCATGCCAGTCATGCCAAATAAAGCTAAGGCAGCAACATACCGGGTACTGGCCGAAACAAAAGTAGTATCGTTCACAAGAGATGAGAACCATGTGATTATGCAAATTGCTTAAAAGGTGCTTTAGTGTTTGAACGCTACAGTGATGATTTTCATCCGTTGCAAATACCATTTAACGTTTGGAAGAGATGACAGAAAAGTAATTATTATTTTTAAGTAGGACTTTATTACTATGCTGAAGAGCATATTAAAAAATTTTGATGCCATTCAAAATATTTTTAATGAGAGGTCAACTTGTAACAAGACGTTATTACTTTATCGTGATCGTTTTCACAACAATTTTTCACTGGCTATGATATATTAAGAAGTTATGCAGTGGGAGATAATTGGTCAGAAATCTTGCTCCTCCCAAGGACTGGAAACAGCGTCATTCAGTAGGGTATTCAACAGTCTTATCATTGAGCTATTCTACCAGAACCATTGACTGGTCACTGAAGAGTAATGGATTTCATGTTTTCTAGTCTCGAGTGTTGGCCGAAGCCTTGAATAATGAGGTGGTTCGAACCGGTGATCTCTAGGTGATATGATTTGGACCCTGCTTAATAAAGCACTAAATCCATTTGCCAATCACTAAAGTTTGACGTCAGTCACTGCAGAAGGAGTTCCAGAAATCGGGGACTATTCATTCGAGTTATGCTTAAAACCTAGGGATCGAAAACATGGAATTAGTCGGAAATTCGGCATCATAATAATCAGTACTATAAATATCAATAAAGTTACAAACCCCAGATGATGAGGTGTCTGGATGTTTGTCACACAGTTTAGGGCATAGTTACTGTGGTGCAAATGTGATAAATAAAATCACAGAGATGAGAATAATGATAAACCACAGTTAAAATTACAAAGTATTCACTTTGAACAGGTTGAGGTAAACGTTTTCAAGGAGTGACGCATGAACACATGCAGCATGCAGCAAGAGGAGAAGAAGGTGAATTAAATCCTTGAAATGGAGATATTTTTGCACAAAATATAGCAGTTACACCAAATGTCTAACAAAATGAATGGATACTTGATACTACTTACCAGCAACAAGTAGTATAAAACTTTAAGCATAAAAGCAGTGGTACGGAAGAAGGATTTTTTGGTGATGCTGGAATAACCCTCATTTGGATCCTGTTGCACTTCAGGCTCTCTCATACCCTACTTATCATCCTGCTGCAGAAAATATCCACAAGACGCCAAAGGAACTGCCATGAACTGACCAACATCCAGACTAATCACTGAAACAGTGATGTAGCAGTTGGAATCGATTGTCATTCAAATAATCAAACTGTCAGTTTGAATTCTTTACGTCAACAATGACAATTTTGTAATTAGAAAAACAAAGGAATTAGAAGACATATTTTGTTTTATCAAACAAAAATTTGAAACTATTCACTTCATAAAAGAAGATGATGAAGATTAAGTTCAGTTCCTACATATGAATTTCAGCGAAATACATGACGAAACCATACAAACTGGTATGTACAGGGAGTCGATGTACATGGATCAAATTTTGAACTTTAACAGTAACAATACATCGTATCATAAGAAAAGTTGACTACAAGCATAATTTAAACATGAAAAGACTCATTGTCGCATTCAGAAACTTCACAAGTCAGAAGAGAACCACTTTTACAAAGTGTTCAGAGCCAATGACAGACAGACAATATCAATATAAGGCCAGGGGTTACCGTGAAACGGTTCAAGTTGCTACACCCCCATATCAGCACATCAAGTGACAAAGTATTAAGATGAAGGACAAAGAAATAGAGATGAGAATAGTCGAAACCGGTAGTAAGTCGTGATAAGATAACAATGAGGAATAAGAGAATCTGGCGAGTAAGATTTAGATATGTGAATACATCTGCGCCAGTGACATCGATTCTAAGGCATGCCACCTACAGCCTCTGATCAACGGTTGTCATCGTCATGCGGAAACCAACCAGGTAGTCTCTGTCTACCTATATGGCTCAAACCAACATTCAAGGACTTCATGCAGTAATGCAATGTTTTAGTCTGAACCCCAAGAACCTTTTTCCAGTCTGAAGCTACTTCAGTTAACATTGCACGACGACCTAAACGGTGGTTATGCGTGCTTAACACATGTCCCGGTTGCCTGAGTTGATGAAGATTCATAACCCCATCAACCGACTTTCTTCTCCTTAAAACTCTACACTTGACTTCAGTGTTACTCACGCGGTCTCACTATGACACACAGCCTACACTATGAAGGCAACAGTGGTCAAACACTAGAAGCCTTGTCATGTCCTCTACCTTTAATGACAGTGTTTCATAGCCATACAACAGAGCAAACTACAGCAAAGTAAACTCGTCCCTCAGTAGGCAATTGGTTATCGTGGTGGTGCTACAGATGACGTAAATTGGTGAGAACCAGTCAAGCCTTTTGTGCTGTTTCAGAGATTTCGTCGGCTACTGACTCACCGGAGCTGGTCTGACCTCCCATTATCTAACCGCATCACTTTTTGCTGTTGATAAAGAACCACTAAAAACCATTTTTGAAGCAACAATTTGTATTTGGGTGGTGAGAAACGTATCCCAAACACTCTCAGATTGCTATTCAAGGTGCTTATCAGCGTTTTCGCCAAACAGAACTATAACATCTGCATATTCTTAATCTACCGTGTATTCTTCCGTGATAAGACAAATCCCAATGAAGTCAGGCGACAAGAGGGAATCCTGTGTAAGAACGTCTATGATAAAATCAAGCAGGAATGGACAGAGTGAATATCTTTGACGGGCACTACTTGAAGTACAAGACTGACCTGATAAATCGCAATGTGCTCTAACATCCTCACGCATGTTCAAATAAAGAGACTTCAGCAGAGTGGTGTACTTACTCGACATTCATTTCAGGGAGAGATACTACTATAAAACTTCTCGACTCAAGCATTCAAATGTCGCCTTCAGGTTGCGAAAAACGAACAGTGTAGTCAATAACCATTCAATCAACTTTAAAAAGTGCCTCTCAATAGAGCAGAAGTCAAGACTGTTACTTCAGTCGGCAAAACGAACCACTTTACAATACAGCAAGGATGTCTCAATGACTGTCTAGCAGTTACTTCATCCATTTTGTATAAGTATCACACACAAACCAACTAAATCACTGCAGGATATCTTTACAAGTTAAAGAATTCATTAACCATTACCCAAAACTGAATGAAAGGACTATAAACGTCACTATGTTGACCAATTCAGTCGTTGAATAAGTCAAAAAACTTATGAGCGCCAACTCACATGTCTGGAGGTTTATTAGTTGACTTTAGGTTGGAATTCACCATGGACTGACATCAGTTGGAGGAACATTAGAAACCTGGAAGCACTAGACATCTGTTTCGTCCTAGCATGGGACACCTCAACAGTGAGCAACCTTAACCCCAGCCCAACAGGGCTCGGGCCCAGGGCCATCAGGTCCCTTGGCCAGCACCTTACCATTGAACCACTGGATCTGTATCTAATGGTCCATATTTCCAACTTCTGTCAGTTCGCAATATAGCGCAACCTCTATCCAATATCATCCTTCAGTGATTGTCCTCATGTTCGACTAGGCTGACTTCACTGATCATAACTTCTCACTGGAACTTCACTGCTGAGGACGAAACAGCTGTCCAGTGTTTCTAGGTTTCCAATGTTTCTCAAACTGATGTCAATCCATGATGAATCCCAACCTAAAAAATAACATATATCTCAAAAACTACAGGAGTGTGAGTGGAAGCATGATGCTCTAATCAAAAAATAATCAACAGGCTTGTGGACACTGAACCAATATATGGACTACTGAGAAGAGATCAATGAAATGGAAATTAGTCAAGTGAATTAATAATCAATCAAAAAATGAGATCAGTGGCATAGGTCAAACGATGTGACATGCGATGGAAAAAATGCCCCCTACTACCAAGATAATAATGTTCAAGGTTGACAAACATCTTACATGGTTTGAAAATCCTTCACTCCTTCATGATGAAGTAAGCGCTGATTGTGTTACCTAGCCTGGTGATAGAACGTCGGGGAACGAGTTTTAAAACTCTCGGAATACTACAACAATCACTGAGTATCATTTCGTTGAATGCATTCATTCCGAAAAATCAGTATAATAAGTAATCATTTAATGCTTTTGTTTATTTCAGCTCAGTAAGAAGTGTGATAAAATGACCTAACCCGACTGACTGATTGTTCTACATTAATGGAATAGTCGTAGAAGAACTTCACAGATTGGGAAAAGGTTTCCATTCACATAAAGAAACTTTAACCTCAGAAGCTCTACATATTTGAACAATATCAGATATTGGAACAGGCTGGGTTCAGGAGGTACAAATCATGTGCGGATTAAAATTGCAACGTTACGCGTCATCAAAGAACAGAGCATACAATGGCAGTCAACCCCTACCTTAACTTCATCGACTTTAAAAAGGCTTTCGACAGCGTCGACCGACAAGTAATTTGACAAGCAGCTGCTTCAACACTACGCAGTGCCAAAAATCTTTATCAGTCTCATTCAACAACTATATGAAGACGCCATATACCAGTCAAGTAATTCACAGTGCTAACCTCAGTGATGCTTTTGAAGTGAAGACAGGAGTGAAACAAGGTTGTCTACTATCCCCCATGATATTCCTGATTGTGGTTGACTGAACTGGATCATGCAGCAGACAACAGTGGGGAGCTGTGAGAAGAGGGGGATATGCTGGCTGGACTGCGGAAAAGAACCTAGAAGATTTGGATTTCTCTGATGACTTGTGTCTGATGTCAGACAGACTTGATGATCTACAGGCAAAAACTAACAAGTTGACAGAAGAAGCAGGGCAGCGAAGACGGGACTTCAAGTGGATGTAGACAAGACGGAGGTGATGAAAATACCCAACCGACAGCAGCATCACAACAACAAGCACCAATCACCATCAACGGGAGAAACTTAAAGCAAATAGCCTCTTTCACCCACCTACCTAGGCAGGGCAGCATCGTTTCAACTACAGGCGGCATAGACGAGGATGTCAAAACCAGGATCCGAAAGACAGCAAGACAGGTGTTCATTAACCTGAAATCAGTGTGGAGATCTACTGTACTGTACAACACTGCACTGCACTGCGCTGCACTGCACTGCACTGAACTCAGCATAAAGCGTGAACAACATCCGGATTTTCGACTCCCATACCAGTCAAGTCAGTGCTTCGATGTGATGGTTGACAGACTTGGCGTGTCACGAAAAGCACTTCCAACAAACTACAGACATTCATCAACAGCTGCTGCCTACGCTGGCTCACTCCATACTGAATATCATATGACCAGAATAATAAGAATAAGCAACAAGGAAGTCAGTCTGGCTGGCTACGAACTAACCGAAAACCTATAACCCAACGAATATGGAGTGGAAGAGAGTGGAGATGGACATACACTGAGAAGACCCACTGGGGACATCACACCCCAGACCAGGCCGTTGAGTGGAAGCCAAAGGGAAGGCGACGAGTTGGGTGTCCGAGGTGATGGTGACATGGAGTAGATCATGTGAGGAAGAAATGAGAGGTTGTGGGCAGTGGTGGAACCAGATTCAAAAGTTTGCAGAGAAGAGAGTGGAATGGAGACGTGCTACTGAATCCCTATGTTCCATTAGGAACCCAAGGGATAAGTAATCATAATAAACGTTGTATAGAGGAGTGACTCGAAACGTTACCCTAACATCTACTGAGATAACAAATACGTTTATTTATTGCATTTTATGAAGAAGTAAACAACTAACTCTCTGGATGAAATCCTGAAACCTGATTGGTTATTTCAGTAGTTACTAGAATAGCCTTTCAAGTTACTTGAAAAAACAGAAGAGACGGAATAAACTTATCACCCTACTCAGCAGAAATTAATCCGACAAAACCAGTAATAAATTAAGATAATACAAGATTGAGAAGATATAAGGCTAATATAAATAATATAATGATACATTTTGACACCTCTCTTAGTATTAAAAAGTGATAGAGATTACCAAAGAAAATTTAATGTAAGTGGACAAATTGTTTTTGAATACGAAAAGGGGGCCTGAACTTTCTTATATCTAAGGCTTCAGTGAACCTAAGTATGTAATGCTGATGCAGTTGGCGTCGCTGATAAGAATGGATATAAGTAGTATATGTTGAGAGGGTGGCAGAAATCATAAGGAATTACCAGCAATGGGTAAGAATTCTACCAAGAGCAACGCAAACGTATCACAGTGGATATTGCTGATAGAATATATGAAGCTTAATCAAGAGGGAAGCAGAAGAGGAAACGAATCACATTTTGCAAATGACGGGTTTAGAGCAAGGCATACTATATGTAATGACTACTGTCCCAATCCTTGGAGATGTAAGGTTATCCGCCTTGTCTGTCTTGATTCTTCACTGACATCCTTATATAATGGTCTAAAGGGCGTTTTGAGATCGATCCTGTGACCTATTTCTATAATGTCGTCTGTTTGACAACCCTACACTTATCAGACTATTGAAATATTTTTTCAGCCACTAGAAGATAAGTCAAGACACCCTCAACTTCATAGTTTTGCTTACTGTTTCCAAATCTATATGTCACTGCATATACATGTAAATTTGTATCCACAGTGGGCTATGACGTAATCATCTATGTAGTGATGAGGCTTATACTGAAGCATAGGTTTCATTCTTCCCAAAATAATAAGTCTGGCTGCATTGTATACTTTCTTGAGTAGCTCAATTCAAAAACGATTTGTCCTTACCTACTTAAACCTACCTTGGCGATCTTTATCCTATTTTAATATCAAAGTAGGTGTGAAAATGTATCATTCCACTTTATTATCCAAGTCGTATATTACCTTAATTCATTTACTTTTCTCCATCCTTCATAAAAAATGCCTTGACAGATAAATATGTTGATACTGTATGAGGATTGAATAGTTAAGTGGAAATTTGACCCACGGTAGGATTCAAACCAGCGACCACTTGGTCTCCTACCCGATGCTTTACCAACTGAGCTATGAAACTGGAATGTTGATTAAAATGAAATAAAAAATCTGGTCACCAGTCAGGTTTCTTATCTTACTTGATAGATCACTGGATCAGAAACCCAATGGTCGCTAGTTCGAATCCTAACATGGCTTAAGTTGTTATTTCACCTTCAATCATCATCCAGTTTCAATGATCTAAGTCTGCCAAACCACACCTATCTCAGATAGTCAAATTGATAAGTGAATGATATTGTCCCTTATATTCTTCGAATCCAGGACCAATTGCTGCAAAAGCGTTTACCTCCAGGCCGACTAATCATAACATTCTACAACATGTATAGTTTTGATTTTATTCTTTATGGTCTCTCATTGTTGACCGAACAGTAGTGATTGGTCAATCTCAGCATACATGTTCAGGCCTGGATATTATGGTCTTGTCAAGAAGGACACCAATCCTAGCTACTATCCATCATTACTGTTAATATCAAGGTATCCGTACAGTAACCCATATATCACAATTGCCTAATCATTTCAGTTCAGTCAACGACGGGAAATTACAAGTAAAAACAACATTAAAGCTATTTCACTTTATTTTTATCAATATTTTTTCTTTCTTAATTAATACAAGGCAAACTTATGGACGTTGGGTACAACTGTGTGTAAGCATTTATCATGCTGTTCTGTTGATAGCTATCACTTGCCTAGTTTTGGGGCACAGTCCAATACGTCATGTAGATAATATTGACAAGATTCTAAACTGTTCTCATTTGGTAAGTTCTCTAAGAAGAAAACATTTGAATTTTATATTTATATAATTTTGTTTCAAGAGTAGTGTAGTGTAGACAGTGGTAGAGAGTAAAACAAGTCAACTTAGAACATGATACTTAAATGAATCGAATGAATTTGTAGCGTTTCACAGTAGTATACAAATAACAAGTGAATAGAACAGAAGAGCAATAATAAAGTAGACAGAAGTGAATAAGAGAAAAGAGAAGAAATAAATGAAGTTTAATGAAAATGCGCGAATTTTCAACTATATCTACCCTATTAAGACTGAATTTCAGGCATGTTGACAATAATCCGTACCCAACAAATTTCAAAATCTCGAGAACCATAGCTAGGCCACCTAGGTCTCTTGAAATAGTTATGATTGACAGTTAAAGACTTCATTAACTTGCCTTTCCTAGTTTTCTCACAACGCAATCCTACTTTTTTCTGGTATCGTATGTCGAAGTGCACGGTCCCTTGAGATGCTCAACATATGTCCAAACCACCTCAGTCGGTGAAGAGCATATGAATTCATCGGCTGTTCTGCATTGCTTGCCAAATACTCTACGCCTAACTTTGCCACTACTAACACGGTGACTCCACGCATACATAAGCAGTACCATGAAGATGATCAAAGCCGCAAACTTAAAATCCAAATTCAGCGACCGTATCCGCTAGCCATATGACAGGATCGAGCTAACTTTAGCGTAGTACACTTTCCCTGTATTATACAGTCAGATTCCCTGCTGATGTCAGGGATGACGAACATTGAAGCTGAAGATTAGATCTTTTGTATCAATGCTGGGGTTTCGTCAGAAACCAATCTATTCGAACCGGTGCATCTATCCAGGTTAGTAAAGTGGTCAACACAGTTTATCACACCACTCCTTATGTTTAAACCAGGAATAGTTGAAGACCAGTGGTGAAGCTTCATCGTACATTTAACAGATACGAAATGCATACAAAGCATGCTTGAAGTCTTACTGTAGCCGTTAAGAAGATTCTGCATTTTTTCAGCCTCCTTTCTTAACAAGACTATATATTCTGCATACTCTAAGTCAATCAGGTACCTTCTTTGGAGTAAGTTAATCCTGAAGAATTTGAAAGTAATTAGGATTATATGCATTAGCACTTCTATGACAAACTTACACAAGAATAATGATGAGGAGTATAGTATACACAATGCTCAAGAATTAATGATAGTGAAGTGATCCCTCAATGTAATACTATACTTATCACCCAAGTCAATAGACTGGCATTTGAATAAATTACATTTTTCTGGCTGAAAACCAGCAATGACTAAGGTTTCCTTACAAATCTTATCATTCCCTGGATGATACATCGTTGTTTCTTCTGACAAACTACCTTATGAACCTGTTTAAAGTGAATTCATCTGATCAAACTTCAGGCAAGCCAATGTATATACCACTGATAGTACAAGTAGATTTCTTGATTTGGGAGTTACAGATAAATTTCTTCTTATAGACAGGTTCCTATACTCTTTTTAAGCAGATAAAAATGAGTATTCAGTTGTCAGAAGTTGCCAGAAGTATTTGCTGTTGGTCTGCACACTAGAGTATTACCAGAATATAACGTGCTATAAATCATGGCCGTAAACGTGATACACGAAAGACTAGGTCAGTGAATCACCCATGTATGTAAGAACGTTTCCAATTCCATCCAAATTAATGCATGGGGAACATTTAAAAAGGACTCTTACGCAACAGAGATGCTCTCAGTGTGCCGCATAGCCACCGTCCCACAAAAACACGATACACTTTGATTCGCCATTTCGAATGTCTCTGGAAACTAGCTGCATGCCGTTTCAAAAGAGCCATTGGAGTCACCATATTCTCGACGGTCGAACATGAAACCCAATGGATTGCTCAAATAGTCCCCAGACGTCCTCTACCACTGGTATGGCAATGTCACAGTCTCCTGCTTCATCACTTTGGAGACGCAAACTGGTCTATCAAGGATACCTTTGTCACTTAAATGAAGTAACCTGTGTTCAGACTGAAACTTTTAAGTCATTGGTGTTTGCTCAAAGGAGTCCTTTCATATCGAACAAACTTAGTCAGACCCAAGCACTGAGATGTATGAAACTTGCACTCAGAAATGCGTAGAACTTCTTCATTGATACCGGATAACTTTAATTTCATTACTGATTGTTAGTGTGTCATTTTATACGAAATCAATGAATCAAAATCATTTTTAAAATGTCATTTTTTAAAGTTAAACTTGAAAAATATACATGTTTCCAGTGTGAAATTAGAATAAGCTTAATCAGTTGATTGGTAGCTAGTTTTTCAGTAGGATAACATTCAGTACGTCTTACAGATGGTATATTCTCACGACAACATTGTATTATTTTGTTTAAGAGTAGTTCTTATCAAATTATTTATCGGTCATTGGAAAGTAACCAACTTCATGTTGTTTTTTGGTCCTAAGTGCCGATCGAATCTTATTGGTCACTTTGCAATTTGACCACCAGATTAAGAGGCTAACTATCGTTATACACTAAGGTAGATGTTGGTTAGGTGGAGGTAATTAGTAGGAAACCTTGGATTTGAGTTTCGTGCTTTTTGATACTAATCAGAAAGACGTGTCTGCAACAGCAATTAACTTGATGTCGCATCTGAGATTCGAATAAGTGTCACTCAGTGTTGCAGTCGGAGACGCCACCACTGAGATATCCAGGCCGCCATTGACTTCCTCTACGACTGGGTTAGGTACCATCATTAGCTACTGGAGGGTAACCGATTTCATATATTCTCCTCTGAATTGGTAATCAATTATTATTTTACCCTTGGGTTCCTAATGGAACATAGGGATTCAGTAGCACGTCTCCATTCCACTCTCTTCTCTGCAAACTTTTGAATCTGGTTCCACCACTGCCCACAACCTCTCATTTCTTCCTCACATGATCTACTCCATGTCACCATCACCTCGGACACCCAACTCGTCGCCTTCTCTTTGGCTTCCACTCGATGGCCTGGTCTGGGGTGTGATGTCCCCAGTGGGTCTTCTCAGTGTATGTCCATCTCCACTCTCTTCCACTCCATATTCGTTGGGTTATAGGTTTTCGGTTAGTTCGTAGCCAGCCAGACTGACTTCCTTGTTGCTTATTCTTATTATTCTGGTCATATGATATTCAGTATGGAGTGAGCCAGCGTAGGCAGCAGCTGTTGATGAATGTCTGTAGTTTGTTGGAAGTGCTTTTCGTGACACGTCAAGTCTGTCAACCATCACATCGAAGCACTGACTTGACTGGTATGGGAGTCGAAAATCCGGATGTTGTTCACGCTTTATGCTGAGTTCAGTGCAGTGCAGTGCAGTGCTGTACAGTACAGTAGATCTCCACACTGATTTCAGGTTAATGAACACCTGTCTTGCTGTCTTTCGGATCCTGGTTTTGACATCCTCGTCTATACCGCCTGTAGTTGAAACGATGCTGCCCTGCCTAGGTAGGTGGGTGTTTCTCCCGTTGATGGTGATTGGTGCTTGTTGTTGTGGTGTTGCTGTCGGTTAGGTATTTTCATCACGTTCGTCTTGTCTACATCCACTTGAAGTCCCGTCTTCGCTGCCCTGCTTCTTCTGTCAACTTGTTAGTTTTTGCCTGTAGATCTTCGAGTTTGTGCAACAAGAATTAGACATGAATCGTCATCGGCGAAATCCAGTGTAAAAAAGTCATTTTAAACTAGCGGGTAGTAAACAACTTTTGCTTTCCAGTTGTGATTTGTTTAACAATTCGCAAACATGACCTCGTGAGGGATGTGGTTACCTGTCATGTCTCGTAAGGATCATTTTATCTACCGTTTGGCCATCAGGATTGATACTTTTTCAGTTTGTGTCAATTTATGAAATAGTGCGACTGTTATCCATTGTCATCGTTAAGTATACATCCTGGAGCCTTCATCGTATTCCTAGACGACATCAACACTAACTTCAAGTGAGCTGTCAACATCTCTGCGTGACTGATTCAGCAGCTTGCCATGACCAACTACTTTGTAATTGGTTGTAGTATCATTGATTGCATACACTTTCTTGTTGGCTGTTCTTCTGCTTGACCTCTCACCTTTCTGTCGTTCATCATCTTTCTCATTGGTTGATAGATTGGGTCTATGTCTATACATCTATTGATTGTTGACTGACTGCCTCACCTGAATGCTAAGCTTTTAGGAATTCTCTGATCATTTTCTTTGTGTTTCCTCTCTCCATCCAATATTTCTCCATTGTCAAAATGAAGTTCATGTCCATAATTATCCACGTGCATTGAAATGAATGATGAGATGTCGTAACGTTTAATGGTCAATTACTGTTCATGTAGACAAAGACGAAGAGGGCGACCACTTTGTTCGATGTAGTTTTGATCATAATTATTGAAGTTGATTTCTGTAAGTGATGTTTGGTTAGTTTTCTTTGACTATTGTATCCTTTGGTCTGCATAATATGATTCGGAGGGGATTTAGTGGTTTATGGATCACACCAATTCCAAGTAGTATTGTCATGATTCCTGATACATTCTTTATTTAGGGTAGGATGATGTGTTTGCTGATTTCTGTCGATGACTTTATAGTTGATGATGTATGGGATAGGCATCTTCTGATAAAGTTTCGTGGGTAGCCGTTCTTCTTTAGGATAGATATCAAGTAATCTTCATATCTCCGTGAAGTTGTTGATCAACATCTTTTTTAATGATGACAAAGTTATCGTCTACATAGCGAATCCAAATTTTTGATTGAATCACAATTAGGATGATGGCTTCCAGTCTCTGTATCACTGTTTCTGCAATTAGTTTAAATATCAGTGACCGCATTGAAGTTCTTCCTTTCATCTGTTTGTATATCTTGCCGTTGAATTGGAAGTATGTGTCAGACAAAGGTCAATGATTCCTATCAAACTTGAACAGTTATGTTTTGTGTGTTCTGAAAGGCTTGTGTCTTCAGTAAGCAGGACGGACATAATTTCTTTGGCCAATTAGGATTCGATGAATGTGTATCGTAAGGTGACATCGAAGGATACCATTAATTCGTCGTTATCTATATTAATTCTATTGATCTTTTCTAAGAATTCTATTGGTGATTTGATGAATGTTGGCATGCTTGAAGGTGGTGTTTCAATTTTCTGGAAATTCACATGATATGTTGTATGTTGGAGTTCCCGGAAGTGAGACCATTGGTCGTAGAGGTATGTCTGATTTGTGTAGTTTTGGTCTTCCATAGAACTGAAAAAGCATAGATCCATTCAATTTCATTCACTATTTGTCTTGCTTTGAAGAGTTTATTCAAGGTTTTATTTATCTTGTTGTTGAACTTTTGGATAAGATTGGTTCCGATTGGTTGATATACATTTTCATTTTTGAGTAAATCCTCTGCCTTCTTGATGTAATCTTCCTTGTCCATGACTACAATGGTACATCTTTTATCTGCTTTTCAGTCTTTTTATTATTTTCTGTATTTGTGTATTCCTTTGAGCATAATATTTTTCTATTTGGTCAGTGGTACGATTGTTTGCCGTATTTCTTATTGAATGTCCTCGTTTAATCCTATGTTTTCTTTTTATGTTTAGTTTTATGAAACACCTACAAGAATGTATTTATTCTCAACAATCGCTTCCATAGTTCTTGTCTTCACAACAATGGATTTAAGTGTTAAAATATGGCAACTATTCTCTCAGGTAACTAAGCTAACAATGAATTCCATGTTGTAACAGTTTTCATTTATTGTATAAAGTTTTGACAATAATATGATTATTTTTCAAAATTTATGAAGAATTTTCCGGTTGGTAACACAAACATGTCTATGATTCACTGATTTAATCAGGTAATTTACAACTTTTTGATTAGTCGGTTCCAAACCTGTTAAATGATGACAAACTAAGGTCCAAGTAGACACATATTATGACAGATTCAGATAGAATTGTTAAGCTTGTTGATGTTACATTTAGAATTTAAAAGTATCACCATCTTTCCTGTTGGCAACTTGAGAAACGAAAAGTACACATGAAAAGTATTTAGAACATATCCAATTATTATTATTATTATTAGTCCCTTGGGTTCCTAGTGGAACATAGGGCTTCAGTAGCACGTCTCCAGTGAACTCTCTTCTCTGAAATCTTTTCAACCTGGTCCCAAGACAGCCCACAACCTCTCGTTTCCTCCTCACACGATCTCCTCCATGTCATCCTCGGCACCAACGTCCAACTCGTCGTTTCCCATGGGGATCCCACTCGAGCAACTGGCCTGACGCATGATGTCCCCAGTCGGCCTTCTCAGTGTATGACAAATCCAATCCATCTACACTTCCTTCTGCATATTTATTCAGCGATAGGTTCTTGGTTGGTTCGTTCCCAGAGCTCCTTGTTGCTTATTCTTATTGTTCTGGCCATCTGATCTTCAGTAGCGAGTGTAAGCAGTTGTTGATGAATGTCTGTAGTTTATTGGAAATGCCTTTCGTGACGCGCCAAGTCTCTGAAACATACAGAAGCACTGACTTGACGTTGGTGTTGAAAATCCGGATCTTGTTCCATATGCTGAGTGCAGAAGATCTCCACACTGGTTTCAGGTTAATGAACGCCTGTCTTGCTTTTCCGATTCTGACTTTGACATCCTTGTCAGTGCCGCCTGTAGTTGAAACAGTGCTGCCTAGATAGGTGAAGGAGGTTACTTCCTTTACGTTTCTCCCGTTGATGGTGACTAGAGTTTGTTGTTGTTGTTGGAGTTGTTAGTGCCGTGTCTTCATCACGTCTGTCTTCTCTATATTCACTTGAATACCCGTCTTCGCTGCTTCTTCTGTCAGCTTGTTAGTTTTTGCCTGTAGATCTTCAAGTTTGTGTGACATTAGGCACAAGTCATCGGCGAAATCCAGATCTGCTAGGTTCTTTTCCGCAGTCGAGCCAGCGTATCCCCCTCTTCTCACAGCTCCCCACTGTTGTCTGCTGCATGATCCAGTCGACCACACCACAATCAGGAATATCATGGGGGATAGTAGACAACCTTGTTTCACTCCTGTCTTCACTTCAAAAGCATCACTGAGGTTCGCATTATGAATTACTTGACTTGTATATGGCGTCTTCATATAGTTGTTGAATGAGGCTGATAAAGGTTTGCGGTACTCCGTAGTAATGAAGCAGTTTCCAAATTACCTCTCGGTCGACGCTGTCAAAGGCCTAGAACATATCCAATACAGTAAGGTAATTGTTAAATTTTGTTGGTAAATCTCTGAAGGGGATTAAGTTTCCTAGACTCTTACAAATACACCTTTTGATAGATGATAACAAAATGGTAGTTAAGTCAAACAAAGTCTCCTAACTATTAACTCAGTATATCTAACGTCAACATTTAAATAATCTCTTGGAATAGTTTGTATCTAAGATGAACTGTTGTTACATGTTCGTCTTCCTCATCTATAAAGCTGATTGTATACATGGAAGAGATTGTTTTCTCCAGAAATTTATATTCTTCAATCAACTAGCAGTTATTTTGTTTCTCATATGGAAAATATCATATCTAGTGAACTAAAATCGATTCTTATGATCTAGAAAAACTTGAAAAAAGCTGTGCTATCGCGGCTCATACCCTATATTCAAGTCATAAAATATCATTCGAACAGACAAAAGTTCTGTAAAAGAGTTTTCTTTCTCACAAAGAGCGGAACATTGCAGAAGCTTTGCACATCTGTTCATATCCTTCTTCGGTCAACAGAAAAGATGGGTTAGACATCACACTAATATGGTAAACATTAGTGACTCGCCTAAGCAGTTGTAAATAATATCTGAAGAGAAGGTAGAATACAATTTCATTCCACATGATTTATTTATTCCGAATTCACTCTTGTTTGAATGGTCTCCGGTATTATTTCTCTTAATCGTTTTAGCCACGAGAAAGAGGGGAAAAAGGAAAAAGGGAGAGAAAAAAAATATTGGTTGCATTCTAACAGCTTGTCTAGTCCTATTACATAGCATTTTATTGACCTACTATTTTCATCAATTTTACGCTACTTTCTGAGTCATATACATTCGATGAACCATAACGTAATGTATTTTGTTACCACTCATACTTCAAGTGTTATCAAAAGTAAATTTGTCGTTATCATTATTTGAGGGATTTGTGGAGATTTGGAAATATTTCAAGTTGCTATTCATCATAGACTGACATTATTATTTAGTGTTATTGCTTGTATTACACCGTCGTTGATTGGACCGAATTGATCAGTCTCTGTTGGCATATGGCCTCCTTTGCGGATGCCTCGATATTGCCTGTCTTTTAACTATGTATAGTAATGATGGGCAGTGGCTAGCAATGGAATCCAGGATGCGAATTTTGACCTATTTGGAACTCGTCAGGTGGATGTACCTGCCTCCCAGTGAGTGATGTTGTTCCCACCGGGACTCGGACTCAGGAGTTAAAAGACAGGCAATATCGAGGCATCCGCAAAGGAGCCCATATGCCAACAGAGACTGATCAATTCGGTCCAATCAACACGGTGTAATACAAGCAATAACACTAAATCTATACCCGTTACACAAGAAGTGGCTATTGTGGCTCTGTGGTGTAGTGGATAACGCTCTGGCGTTTGAAGCGATCGCTCCCGAGTCCCGGTGGGAACAACATCACTCACTGGGAAGCAGGTAAATCCATCTGACGAGTCCCAAATAGACGAGATGCGCATCTGGATTCCATTGCTAGCCACTGCTCATCATTACTATACATAGTTAAAAGACAGGCAATATCGAGGCATCCGCAAAGAAGCTCATAAGCCAATACAGACCGATCAATTCGGTCCAATCTACGACGGTATCATATAAGAAACCCTTATAATACTTTGTTATCTGTTCTAATATACTACACTGGAATTACACAAGTAAAAATACACCTTATACAATAAAACCGATTCAATTGAAAATCTTCAAACTTTACAATACAAAAGTTATAACTTCCTTAAAGTTCAGTATTTGTTTGATGTTTTCCAATATTTAATACATCTTGGGATTGACATTATAGATCATGTATTTCCATTTGAAGTTTGAGAAGGAGAACAAAAAAGTTAGTAGGTAGGTGAACTTGAATCCAATTAAGATGTGTTATCATGATTCATTTCTTCAAAACGACTTCATATTCATCTGTGGAAGTTCCAACTCTTCATCTTAGTGGTAAAGATAATAATAGTGCTTATTATGGAATTCAGTAATTGTTGATATGACTAGATTTTTTTATTTCGAAGGTTTGGGAACGGATTGGATTGATCTCAGGGTGGTATTTATCATGAACTAACATACGAAATGGGGGTACGGGTGTACATTAATATTGGGTCTCATACTAAGATGAAACACCTGTCCAGTACTCTCAAGTTTTCAAAGTTTCTGCAACAAGTGTCAGTCAGCGATGAATACTATCCCCATTAACCTCATCATTGTATAGTACTCATTAATGAAATGCTTCCAGATGGATATCCCGAAGTTGTAATGAAAAGACGTCACCTCTATGGTCAGCCTGTTGGAAGTGAAGTGGATGCCAACTGAAGACCTTGGTCCTAGTCGCTCTAAATTGTGAATTGTTAAGTTGGAAACTGTGAAGCACTGAGCCTTAACCTAGTAGCTGGATGATTAACGCATTCTCCGTGAAACCTGAAGGTCCAGAGTTCGACCTCTAACCAGGTCGTAGGTGCGTACTGTTGAAGAGTATCACATCAGGAAGAAACTGTTGTCCATTGCTCCATGATGAATATTAACTTGAAATAACCTAGATTTGCTGAACATTGGGTTATGTATGGTAGAAATTCTTCTTAATTAACTATTCATTACAGTCGAACAAAATGGAACTGGTGGGACACAAATGAATGAATCACAATGAATGTACAGAATCCTAACAAAAAACTGTTTATTTCTATAAAATAAGAGTAGAATTTGGGCAGTATGGTATAGGATACTTCCATCACGCTTCTTTAATAATATGCATTACGCTATGAAATATTATTGTCTACTGGATGACATTTAGAGCACAATATATTTCTCGCAATCATATAACAAGGTAATCATCCAGCTTTATGGTTTACTCTTTACAATTCGACTGTCTTCCTTTGATTGATTTAATTAGCAGTAAAGCTTTCAACACAGGCACACGGAATTAATGTTGCATCATCCCTTTTATTACATGTGTCAGGTGTCGATTCGATAAACTCTGCCTTTTCACCTATCAAAGTTATTTAGCCCTTTAGGGCTCAGTAAGATTAGCAATAAAGTCACAATTAGAGTGACATTTATACCAAAAAACTAATCTTGAGAAGAGATAAGCCATAGCCATTTATGGCTGTCATATACACACACACACATATCCAAGCAATAGGATCAGGCAGAGTGACAATTTTCAGAATAAATAACTTCTTTTTTTGGGGGGGGGGTTCATGGGGTTTTACTGATTTCAAGTTGACTGACATTATCTGGAGAAACATTGGAAACTAGGGAACACCGGACAGCTGTTTTGTCCCACTAGTATGGGACGCCTCAGCAGTTTACACCCGTGACCCCACCCCGACAGGGATCAAACCAAGGACCATCAAGTTTTGTGGCCAGCACGTTACCATTGAGCCACTGGGTCGGAATCTAATGGTCCATATTTTCAACTCCTGTCAGTTCACTATTGTCATTAAGTACCTATCATCATGTCTGACTTGATTTGCCTCACCGTCACGACTTCTCACTGGAACTTCAGGAATCACCTCTTCAAGCTAGTCCTTAATAAGCAACAGATTAATTCAGTTTTCAAGTTTGTGGGAATTTATTAGTTTCAAGTCAGTATTCATCATGAACTGCTACAAAACCCCAAATTGAGTTAATCTAGTACTCATTGGTGAGAGATAATTCCCGAAGTTCCGGTGAGAAGTTGTGACGGGTGGGGCATATCACGTCAAACATGAAGACGTTTACTCAAAGACGGTACTGGATGGAGGTCACGCTACATCGTGAACTGACAGAAGTTGGAAATATAGACCACTGGATTCTGACTCAGTGGCTCAATGATGACGACCAGTAACGAGTGGGGTCATGGTGTGTGCTGCTGAAGCGCCGTATACTAGGATGAAAAAGCTGTCCAGTGGTCTCAGATTTTCATTGTTCCTCTAACTGATGTCAGTCTACGATGAATACCAACCTGAAAAATAACTTTGATAGGTAGAAAGGCGGGGAAATTGATAACTGATGCTTTGTTAATGGAGTCGACACCTGATACATACCATAGGCAGAATGACGCCACACCAATTCTGGATGCGTGGAAAGCTTTATTAGCCACTCAGTTAAAGAGGGAATAATAGTATAACTTTAAGGACTCAACCAGAAAGTTGCATGATTACCTTGCGGTATGATTATGAAAGATAAATTGTGCTCAAAAAGTCATCCAGTAAATAATAGTATTTCACAGTGTGATGCATAAAATGAAAGAATTATAATTCAACTGCTCAATTTTCTCACCAATACACATTCCCATGGTGGCACTCCATATTGGATTAATAGGGATTGGGAGAATCATATGATATCGAGGCTGCTATCAATTCCTCTGGAGGTTTCTAGATAGTAGGCATATCATCGCAATGAATAAGTTTTTCGAAACAGTGGTCTGATAGATAACGTTCTAGGGCATAGAGCGATTGGTTCTGGGTTGGAGTCTTAGTGGGAATAGCATCACTTGCTGCACTGCAGGCACATCCAGCTGACGGTTCCTAAACAGGACGAAATGCACGCCCTGGAATTACTTTCTATCGACTATCCATCATTATTACAAATCAACATTCAGTCCAATGGTTACTAAGATAGTATTCATGTCTTCTTCAAGTTGAACTTAAGGCTAGTGTAGCGTTTTTATAACAAACAATCCTATTTGGAGATAAATTGTTTGAACAATGTTATCCAATACGTTTTGAGTCAACAGTTTATGACTAAGAACAAGGCATGTATCAGCGAAGAAATGTTTCTTTTTAATGACTTCATTATCAAGATGTACAGCCGTATTTACACTCAGTGAAATGACAGATAATTGCTTTAAAAAATTGAAATATTGAAGAATATTTGTAGCTCAGGTGGATGGTCTTATTTGTAATGTGTTCTCTGGGCTCGGTTGTTTATCGTGAAGCTTTCATCGTCTTCCTGGATGACATCATCAGCACTAACTTCAGTTTCAAGCGAGCTGTCAATATCTCTCCGTGAGTGATTTAGTAGCTTGCCTTGACGAAGTGGTCTGTAGTCAACACTCATTATACGAAGTGGTCGACCTCTTCACCTTCGTCTGCATGAACACCAAATGGCTATTAAACGTAACGACATTTCAACACTCATTTCAATGTATGTGGATAACTATGGACATGAATTCAATTTCGACAATGTAGAAATATTGGATGGAGAGAGGAAACACAAAGAAAATGGTCAGAGAATTCCTAGGAGGTTGGCATTCAGGTGAGGCAGTCAGTCAGCAATCATTGGAGAGATGTATAGCCACAGACCCAATCTATCAACCAATTAGAAAGATGATAAACGACAGAAAGGTGAGAGGTCAAGCAGAGGGACAGCCAACAGGAAAATCTATTCAGTCAGTGAGTGACACAACAACCAAAGGAAACAACCAATTACAAACCAGTTGGTCATGGCAAGCTACTGAATCAGTCACGCAGAGATATTGATAGACCACTTGATAATGAAGTTAGTGTTGATGATGTCATCTAGGAAGGCGATGAAAGCTTCACGATTAAACAACCCAGCTCAGAGAACACAATACAACCATGATCAGTCAATATGCAAAATATACAATCCGTGTAGGTGGTGGTATTTGTTCAGTTGGAAGAAATAGAAAATAGGTCAGTGAATAAGGAACGAATTGGTATTACTATCTAATAGCGGATACCCTAAAAGATTTATTGATAAGAATCTGAAGAAATGAACCACTCCCCATCTCATTACAGTCCCTAAGAAACTTTTAACCATGAATCTAGAATTCAAAGGAGACACCACAACCGAAGTGCTGAAAAATCGTCTGTCAAGATGTATCAGTAGTATCTTCTATGCTGCTAGACTGAGACTGATATTCTCCAGCCGCCGTCTGATTCATCAGTGCGTGAAGGATAGGCTTCCCTTTATGTCCTTTATCTATGTGTACCTACAAGTTCACAGGCTCCCATGGAGCTGACTATATTGGACGTTGTAAGCGGGCCCTCCGAATACGTGTTGCTGAACATTATCCGGTTTGGCTTACTAAAGGCGAGCAAAGGAAAACGACTTCATCCATATGGGAACACCTAGCTGAGTTAGGTCATTCAGCACCTCGAGATTCATCCTTTAAAATAATTTATAAAATTAAATTGAACTACTACTCCAAAGGTTTACATTTCCACCACTTATACATAGCTGAAGCATTAGCTATACATCAACAAAAACTGGAAGTTTGCATTCAAAAACTTTTTTGAAACCATACTTTCTCTACCTTGACTTTAACAATTCATTTCGTTGATTTTGTCTATTTCATTTCATTTCATCAATTTTCACTTCAATTTTTGAGGGGGTTGTGGAGATTTGGAAATATTTCAAGTTGTTATTCATCGAAGACTGACATCAGTTGGAGGAACAAAGGAAAGCTGGGAGCACTGGACAGCTGTTTCGTCCCAGTGGCTCAATGGTAACGCGCTGGCCGCGGAACCTGAAGGTCGCGGGTTCGATCCCTGCTGGTGGGGTCGTGGGTGCGCACTGCTGAGGACTCCCATACTAGGACGAAACAGCTGTCCAATGCTCCCAGGTTTCCTTTGTTCCTCCAACTGATGTCAGTCTTCGATGAATAACAACTTGAAATTTTCACTTCATTGACAACATTTGACCCATATTTCACTACTGAATATCAATTCATTGCATAATCATTGACCTATTTTGATTGGTTCAGTTAAATTATCACCGTTTTACAATAGTTTGTCAACATGTGTCTTTTATCTCACCACTTGTCATCAATTCGTTCTAGCTTATTCGGTAACCCATTCCCCATTTCTTCCACTTGAACAAATACCATCACCTACCTACATCGATTGTATATTTTGCATATTGACTGAACAACTCCCTTTTTAGTGCAATTATCTGTTATTTTACCGTGTATAAATACAACTGTACAACTTGATAATGAAGCTGTTGAAAAGAAAAATATTTCTTCGATGATACATGCCTTGTTCTTATTCATCGAAAATTTATATCATTAGTGCGGGGACCATCTCTCTTTCTTGATTATTATTTGTCCTTTGGATTCCTAGTGGAACATACGCCTTCAGTAGCACGTCACCATTGCACTCTCTTCTCTGAACTCTTTTCAAACTGACTCCATGACTGCCCACAAGTTATCATTTCTTCCTCACATGATCTCCTCTATGTCACTCTCGGCTTGGACGCCCAACTCGTCGTTTGCCATTTGGATACCACTCGACGGCCTGGCCTGGCGCGTGATGTCGACAATCGGCCTTCTCAGTGTATACCCAATCCAATCCATCTCCACTTTCTTCCACTCCATATTTGTTGGGTGATAGGTTCTTGGTTGGTTCGTCGCCACGGTGGGTTCCTTGTCGCTTATTCTTTCTGGTCATCTGATCTCTTTTTCTTACTAGTTAATATTTGTCTTCAAAGAGTTCCTTAACCTACAGCGTTCAACTAACTTTCAACACTCTACTGAGATATTTTTTCATTGGTCAACCACTTCATTATCTCCATTATCCAGTTTATGAATGTTTAATTAGGCGAGTTTTACATTCTATTCACTTTTCATTCACTATTCTCATTTCTTCTTTTATCTTTCTGCTTCCTACAAACAAAACAGAAATGGGAATTTTTCAAAGATTGGAATAATTACTTAGAATTTCTCTTGAATGCTTTAGCTATGACGTATTCAGCACTGACCCTGAAAAAGCATTTGGATCATCATTATATTGGCTTGGGAGTGGTTGTGATGTTTATGGCTTGGTTTAATTTTCTACTTCAAATGATGAGGTAAGCCAAAATTATTTTCTAATTGATATTTAAAACGTTTTGGTTTAAGAGTAGGGACTACTTAACGGAAAAAAGTAGTATCCTAATGATGTAAATCTATTAAACAGTTTGAAGTAGGATGATCAACACTTACAAGGTCAGAAGTCAAGCAGGCAACCGTCCTATTGGAAAATCTGCTTAACGAATGACATAACAAACAAAGGGAACTGCCAGTAACAGGTCACTGAATTTATTGCTCATGTTATCCAGAAAATCGATGAAAGCTTAACAATTAAACCACCCAGTTTAGAGGACACAACCAATATGAAACAGTTTGTATACATGAATTGTTCCCTAATGAGAATCAAGTTTTGCAATGTGATACCTGTGCTAGGTGATACGACAAGTGAAATCTATTTTGTCTGGTGTCCAAGAGTTACAGTCGATCAGCAAGAAGCTCTACTTCACCTGGAATTTGCGCTTATGAGCAGTGATTTGATGACACTCGTATTTCTTCTCAGGTTGGAACATGCGTAGTTCAGTTTTGAAGTTAGAAACCCTATCACCAATGTAAACAGCCTCCAACCTTTAATAGGGATGGATTATATACGCAGTTTGGCTATCGGGTGGCAACTGAAATGGTTGTTATTTTCTAATGAGACGCTACCTTATGTTGATGAGTGTCATAGTAAGTAGGTAAACACTTGACTCCCCTCCACCAAGTCATACGATGGAATAGCACTTCATCTATTAGCTTCGTATAAGAAGACAATAGTATTAGCTCCCCCTTTCCAAACAAGACAGATATAATTCAAAGACTACAACACGAACCTTATTATGTTTACCGAAGTGTCTTTCTTCAGTTGTGTGGGAATAATGCATTCTGCTGTCATAACCAATCTGTATAACTGAATCTTTGCGAAATTCAGCATATCAACTACACCATGAAAGGTATTCGAAGGGAATAACTACTTAGACCAGTTTATAATAATTATAGGTTAAAGTTTTTATATTGTTAACTTGAAGGACTGAATCGACGCGGATCGTTTGCCAAAATTATCTTTATTCCAGCCACTACTATAAAGCACTGGCATGCAGAACAAAGATAACATAATGAAGAATCAAAATAACTACATTAAGTTAGAAATTTATGGAGAATTGATTGATTCCCGAAGGGTTTTCATCTGCCAGGGCATCACTGCAAAGCTGAGAACTTTTGATAAGTGTTCCTTCCTAGCCTAGGACTCTTCATCAGTACACATGCATAACTTCATATAAACCCATAAAGGATTACGCACAGTACCATAAGGTTTTGTGGTGAGCGCATTAGCATCTAACCACGAGGTCGGAATTCAGTGGTTCGCTTTTCCCAACTTCTAATCCTAATTGACCGTACAAGTTATGACTTCGGGTTACCACCTGAGGCAATCCATGCAGAAGCAAAGCAGAAATGGGTTCTAGATTGCAGTTCAACTGGAGTTTGGACCTTCTGAGACTCATGGGTGCACAGTGATGATGGGTCCCAAGACAGAACAAAACAGCTGTTTGATCCTCACAGGTTTTAGTGTCTCTGCAGCTAATGTCAATTGATCTGTATAAAACCGCAAAGTGCTCATTGGTGATTTACTTCATTATAGATTCCTCATGGTTCTAATGAGAGGCTGTAACGTGTAGATTCGAACAAGTCAGCCGTGAGAATGGATATGTATCGGTGGAATTCGACAGTGTACACGGTATGTCGTAAATTGCTGAAGGTTGACAAAAAATAACCACTTGGCTGCAACCTCTTGGTCGAATAATAACTAGCTGGCTACAAGACCTAGTGATCCTGCATTGAGTCCTTTATACGGCTTAGAAAACAACTGTTTAATGCTCCTAGGCTTTCAGTGGTTCTCCAACTAATGTCAGTTCATGGTAAAAATTCCTCTGAAACTGCTCACTTCCTGGAAAAAACCAATTATTGGAGTATCTTTTCATTTTTATTGTTAATCTTGAGTGACAATAGATAAGAAACAGTGTAGCATACATTAGTGTCAAGTATTTTCTCGAAATGATGAGGATACTACTTGATAAAAATGGATTTTCAAACTGTCCATGACTCATAACGGAACCTGTGCCTGTAACTGTATACTTTTATACATGAGAACATGCATACGAACGAATGCCTGTACTCATGACACCTAAATAACTAAACACTAGATTAAATGGCTGAATTCGATACTTTATAGTACAGTTTCGATACAATTTATTTGACCCGATTGAATGGTTTCTATGCATAGTGAATATCAAAAGGCGTACCTGTGGGTCAACTGTCAGTATGGATGCAGTCGACAGTAATCTGGAACATAACACAACAGAATGAAATGTAATATCCGTGATATGATGATACACATTACGGGACTGCCTAATTCCCCCATAACCCTAACTGAAGTATGATGAAGTTCCAACAAAGTATTCTAACCAGTAGAATCGAACAGTTTTCCTGTCCTTGAAATGACCGATCGGAGGTGACTATGTTACGTTCTGATTTCTCGTGTATGTAGACATGGGTCTTGTTTTGATAATTCGAAGTGACTAACTGCGGTAAGGCACTGATGTACCGAACGTGATAACGACGCTCACTGAGCCAAGAAAATACCAGAAGACACACGAAGTCATATATATGAGTTTTAACAAACAAGAATGCTCAAGGTCAAAGATAAAGTAACTTATTTTGATTGGCTATGTGAAACATGAAATTGTCCACGAAGATTTTTCCGGACCATACAGCAGCATAGATAAGAATTCGAAGGTCAAAACTGTCTACCCAACCGGTCAGTGACTCAAAATGCTGATTTCCACTTAAGATGCTTTCTATCGTAATTGACTGAGCGAAATTCTTCTGAATATACTCTCTTATCCACTCTTATTTTTTTCACCAGTGACCATTAAATAACTTCACTAACCCTTTCTCTCCTTTCCATAGATTTAAACACGTCGGCATATTTGTAGTCATGTTCTTGCATGTGTTTGCAACCGTCGGAAAGTGTCTAGTTGTTTTTTCAGTGGTATTTATAGCCTTCGCTTTATCGTTTCATGTGCTATTTCGTGCTCCAAACTATGCGGTAAGTGGTTTGCAAGTAATAATGTTTTACTGATCCCTCTTTCAACTTTCACTATAAACTGACTGTAAGTGTTTGTTACTTCAGTCGAAGGTTGAATGTATTTGCTAGGAAAGACTTCCACTTCAGAGGTATTGTCAATCATTCACGATATCGCAACTCTGCGAATGGGGTTTGAACCCATATCTCTAATTTCATGGACACAGATATCATCAGTGATTCATCTTTGTCACCTAGTCTGGTCCAGAGTACTGATCTAATCATATCGATCAAATTTTTATACACTGGCTATCGACAAGTCACAAGGTAATCTAAGATCAACCAGAGTCATTCAAAATCACTGTTGGTTTCATAAATACCAAGTGAAACTCATCGGTTATAACGTCTAAATGCCACGATTTCTTAAATTATACAAATCTATAAGTAGATGCAAATGTCAACACAACTGAGAAGAAGTGAAGCTCAAGAATGAAGCTGGGACCTGGCTCAAATTGACTTATTTGATGCACTAGTCAGGAAGGCTGAAAAAATAAAAGACAAATTTTACAAAATACTAAACACCTATTTTCAGTCATTACTATGAATCTATCAGGATCTATTCAATCATCTACTACTGCCAAATAAGCTTTAGTGCAAATGCCTTAATATTGCCAGTGATTTTAATTTTTATAGTGTTGAAGGATAGTGGTTGATAGGGGAACCCATGATGTGCGTTTCATTTCGTTTGAGATTCGTCAGCTGCATATATCTCACCCCCCTCTTCCCAGTGGATGATGTTGTTGATATTATTTCAGTTAGATGACAAGGAGACCAGTCAATAAGAAAATCCGCGTTACTTCAGAATTCCAGCTAGAGGCCTTCGAGTTACTGACTCGGCATCCTACCGCTAAAGTCATCAGAAGCATCTGCTAAACAGGCCTCATCACCAACTTAATTATCTACAGTTTTGTCTAATTTGTACATGAATAGACATCACCTTGTTATCTCTTTGTCGTCAACAGCGCATCAGTTACCTAATTGTTTGTCTTGAGTATTATGATGTTCTGAGCTTGGAGAACAATTTCTTAAGGATTAGTACAAAACCGTTGACTTTCTGTCAAATTATTGCTGATTAGCACAATTAAGATAGTTATTTAACAACTCTTCTGCTTTGCCACTGTAGTGGCAAATACTTCCCTAAAACCAATAGCTTATGGTTTGACGAGATTCAACATTGATGCTTGCCTTCCTAGTTTTATTGGACTCACTAAGCTGAAGGTACACAGTCAAGCATCTATGCCATTTGGCACAGTGTTGTGTTACGTTACACTTCTTAGAATCAATCCTGTAGCCAGCTAGTTGAAATGCATCATCGGTATTTTGTGAAGATTTCTCAGACATACTATTTCATCTGACTACGCTACTTTGTTCTTCCCTGATCTCATATTCATGAGTGTCTTACAAGTACAAATAGTTAGTGATTGACCTCTGTGTCTGTCAAGTTCACACAAGGATAGTTCCTTAATTGGTATGCTCTATATATTATGGAGATTGTTTTCTTGGTTAGATGTCACTGACATAGTGGATTGAAGGTACAGTTGAAGATTCTCAGAATGAATTATCAAGCATGGTCCAGAGTTATGAGTGCACATAGATCAGCTAATCAATAAATATTTTAATAGATATTAGTTGACTGATGATAGTTGGTAAGAAGTTCTGATTGGTTTACGTTATGTTCTTATTGACAGCTGTTTGTACTCTCAAATGAACTGATGTCTACTCCGAGATTTCAACCCATGTCGCTCAGTAGTGCAGTCAAAAACGCCATCATTAAGCTAGATAACATAAAATTGGTTACTTTCCATTGGTTTACTAATTTCAGAAAGCAATCACCAGGAATCCTTACTTTACCTAGATTATGTTCATAGAACTTATCGCCAAGATGTATCTCCTATCGTGAGAAAAGTTATATACCTTCAAAAATTCGAGCCTGTAGCATTCCACGCTCAAGTCCAAGATTTCATCATCAATTTAGACAGTAAATGATAATTCTGTTAGAACTTCTTTAACGAACGCATGTAATGTTCGTCTAGCTTGTAGGTACGTTGCTGCAGGGGGTTCACCTATAACAGAGTGGGTTTTATGGCGAACATAAAAATCTGGAAAGAGGGAAAGAAAGAGAAAAATGCAAGCCAATGACTTATCAAGGACACAGAATGTAGATACATTTAATGATAAAAGATAATCACTAAGCCATGAACAGTTACCTAATCGAGGTGGGTGGTTCAAACTGAGGTAAATGGAAGCAAAATATGTCTAGAAATGGCAACCTTCAGACTATTTATTCAGTCTCCATATCTCTGACTCATAGAATAATCACTTCATTTCACCCTCTCAAAACTCCACCAAGTTGCCATGGCCACACGGTTGTTGCCACTTCAGCGCTAACTAACGAGCGACTTTAAAGGCCAACCTAGAAAATGGTAAAGTAACAATCATTTTTCTCTATTCTATAAAAACATTTTTTCCTAGCTAAAATACTGCAACTTGATTGGTTATTTTGTTAATTGTTAGGGTGACCTTTAAAGTCACCCTTAATTAACTCTTCAGTGAATTCTGTTCAAGTCATATAAAATGAAGCAAAACTCAACCAATGAATTCAATTATCATAGAAAGCCTCACTTGACAGATTAGTCTGGGTATGCATTGACAACATTGAAGATCCTGTTAGCAGTATGTTGTTTCGTACCTGAGTAAACATATCATATATGGCTATTGACTGACGGTTAGTTATTAGTTTGAATCCTGTCCCAAACAAAGGCTCCCTCCAACTTTACTTATCGTTCTTATGTGCACAAAGATTAACCTAACAGACATTTGAAAACTTACTTTGTGTATTGTATAACAGTTTTTGAAGACAATACTACAAATAAACAAGTTTTATCAGTCTTTCTTCAAAAATTTTCTTTTAGGAGAATGAAACTCAACTATCATTGGGAAATTCACTTTTCAATGAGTGTTTTTCAACATTTAACAGTTTAACACAAATCAGTCAAACTGATACATCCATTTCATCAGAGTTACAACCTTTTCAATACTTGGGTTTATCATTGTTTAAAACGTTAATGATGATGTTAGGCGAATATGAGCACACAGCGACAGTGATTGAACCTTTAACAACAGGGGGAACTTCTTTGGCATTACATTATCCAGTAATAACATTTATTTTTTATACAACCTTTGTATTTCTAGTACCAATTATTCTGATGAATCTTTTGGTAAGTTGATCCTTTAACATTACCATTTAAATAAGTTGTCCTTGAGGTAGCCAATCACAGTTGAACACTTACTGTGTAAGGTCAATTATTATGATTTTGGATTTCTCTGACCCACAAAATAACCTTAACTACACATACAGCATAACGTTCTGCTAGAAGTGCAATGCTTTTGCTTCTCGATTAAGAAATTGTTAAGGAGAACAGTGATATACTAACATTGAGACTGGTAGTTGTGCTCATCTAATAATAAAATGGATCTTTGTTATGCTCTAATTCGTGAAAATGGCGGCTTAGCTTGAACATATACGTTCATAACCTCACGAAGAGTTTTATAAATTAGATCGACAGATCATTTCAAAGTCTTATAAGTATTATGGTTCCTACTTTATTGGTACCCGTAATTTCTCAGGGAATGCACAAACTAATGTGGCCGTTAACGATTCACGAATGTCGCTTTACAGCTTCCAGTTAATTCCGGACTAGGCTAATTAGTGTAAAACATACTTAGAATTGTAGGAAAAAATGTATTCAGGCCAACTATAGTGTTAGATGTATCGAAACGTACAAGGCCTTTAAAGAGTAGGCGGACTAGTCTGATTCACTTGTCAGAAATCAGTCTAATACACTTTGCACTAGGTAGCATTCTGATTGGCTAGTTTCAAGGTCATCGTATGATATGTTGACGGAGACCATACAGTTCAACTAGTGTGCTCCGTAGAAGAGGATGGTGAGAACTGGACTGTTTTCATGATCATGAAATTTCGTTTAACCTACTACTAGAAGCAAATGACATGATCTCATCCACTATATCATATGAGTAGCTTTAAATCACGCACGATCATGTTATAATTATACTTATTTGATGAAGATTGGTTATAGTAAATCAGTAAACTGCAGGATACAGTGAAATTTCACTGTTAATTACCACACATTACTGTTATAGAAAATTGAGTATTTTCTGTAGATAAGAAACTTGGACGGTTCATTGCCTTACTGAAATTGCTTTGTTTCCCGCGATATTTTTGAATTTGCGCATCAACTAACGTCTGTATGCTTCCCATTATGAGCGGAGTAAAAACAGAAATATTGATTGTCGAGGCGAAATGTCTTTATCATGATAGGAAAAGTTTACATAACTAGTTTTATCTAGTGAGTCCCTTCAAATGATGTTTACTATTCATAATGACACATAAGTAGTATGTAGTGAAACATCGTTGAAGAAAGCATTTCTAGTTGACTTTCACTTGGCAGAGGTTTTATGAGAAGAAACGAGATGCATAGGATGGAAATACAGAAGATAAGGGAGAAAGTAACTGAAATATGAAGGAAAATTCGTCTTGAATGTAGAATGCCCATATCTATTTACATGAATCGATTACCGGTATCAAGCCTCATTAGTGTTGTTTTCCACAATGGTAATGTATGGTGTTTGGCATACCTCACTTCCTTCCAGATAGAAGTTTTTGATTTGCAAGCGCTTCAGTATCATGCTAAACACCGCCGTCCATACGTTATAACGAAATGAAGTAAATTGACTTTGTATAAATATGTGTAAACTGTTAGTTTGTCTGAGTTCAACCTGATTGGCTTTTTATTGAGTACAAACTCTGTGCAGATTGGTTTATATACTTCATCCGAAGGATAATCAGGTCTATACAAAAATCTCTACCAGTCAGGTTCGAATGACCTTCATCCATTTATTAAAGTAAGAAGGGTTAACCAATCACATTAAAGTGACCTTAGAGTACTAGATTAAGACCAAAGACGACAACCAATGACTAAGTTGCACACCACTCTTCTTATCATGTTAGGTAGCAACATTTTACTGTCTAATGATGTGACTACACACACTACTGACCACAAAGACAAACAAATTTACGACGTTCAGATGTCAGTTACTGGAGGAAAGTCCGACAATCACCACTCCCAAAATGGTTGAAGCTTTATGTTATTGGTGAATATTCACCCTCTCTCTTAAATTTAAACTGGATACATACATTCATAAGTACCCACTAAGAGTTTAGAATGCTAATTTTAGGTTGAAATCTATCTTCTTTTATTAAAACGGTTCAAGTGGATTAGATAAGCTTAAATAAACATAATAATTATCAGTAATAAATTCTTTCTTAAATTATATTTGTAAAAATGACTGATTGTTTTTTCCCTCCGCATAAACCATATATAGATAGGTTTAGCTGTTGGTGATATTGAAAATGTTCGACGGAGTGCAGTTCAACGTCTTATTTCCCAACAAGTATACTGGTTAGCTGATTTAGAACCAAAGTTGACAGGAATTTTTCGTTCCAAACTATATCAACCTCATTGGAGAAAGAAATCAAGAATCAATAAAACTACAGTAAGTATATCAACTTTACTGTTATCAGTTTCATATTGACTAGTTCTAAGTGAAGTTCGAATTTTATCGATTATTTTAATATGTGATCACTTAGCTAGGAGAGATATCATTGATGTGCACTATTGATTGATTTTAAAATGTTGGAGGCAATAAAAAAGAAACTCTTAACCTGTCGACACTTTTCAGCAAAGCGTATCTACAAGCTCTAAGGAACTTTGATAATCCTTGAAAAATTCGAACTCGGATCAACCCATGTAGTAAGAAACTACAAAACTACTTCAGTTATATTGATGATGGATCGTTGCTAGTAGTGGAATCCAGGATGCGCATTTCGTCCTATTTGGGACTTATCAGCTGAGTGTTGTCCCCACCGGGATTCGGACCCGGGAGCGATCACTTCAAACGCCAACTAGTTATCCACTGCACCACCGAACCACAATAGCCACCTCTTGTACGATGGGTATAGCCATGATCCATCATTAACATAATTAGATTGCTGGCAATATCGAGGCATCCGCACAGTAGCCCATATACTAATAGAGACCGATCGATTCGGTTCAATCAGCGACGGTATCATATAAAAAATACCCTTATGCTTCAGTTATACTTTATAGTTTTATCGAAGTAACTAAAATAGAAGCCAGTCACAAGGTGACAATAAATCATCAATGAACTATCCATTGCTAAACATTATAAGGTCTTGAAAGCCAACAGGAATCTTTCCTAGGTGGTCAGTTTACCAGTTATTAGTGGTTAAAGTGATGTGAATGCATAACAAATGCCCCAGTTATTTTGAGGCTGCATTTATGTGTGATACGAATAAACTAGAGTAGTGAGTGATGTAGGCTGAAATGTGTCAAGATGGTGAGTGAGGCATTAATTCCTTCTACGTACCAGATATGTTTTGTTAATTCAAGGTGAATAGCAAGAAATACAGATCCAGGACATTCTGTAGACAGCTCCCAAGTTCTTTATATAAATCAAAGTGTATTGAGAGAGATAGTGAGTCGCCTAGTTTGGTGATAAGACTGCAAACTTGATTCAAAGAATCTGATCAGCACTTCACATTAGTTACTATCTGTTAATCAATCACTGTAGACTTATACAACGTCAGTAGATTATATGTTAAGATCACTTCCAGGGTTGAATATGTATGTGGAGTTACACCACTGTTAAGCTTCAACATAAATAAGCAAACATTCACCCATTTCTGAAATCCCTTGATGTGATTTCATTGTGACTGTCAAATGTCATCCCTATTCTCAGTACTTTAGACAAAGATACAAGTCAGAGGCAAAAGAAACAGGCTACATTTGTTGTGTAATTGATGTTAGTTGGTTGAAACATATAGGCATGAAACGCTTTGGAATTTGAAGCGAAGGGTAGTGGATTCGAGCTTCGGTGGGAACAACATCACTCATTGGGGTGCAAATACATCCAACTGATGAGTCTCAAGTGATACGAAACGCGCATCCTAGATTTTTCGGCTAGTCATCAAGATCAATATAACACAATGAATATCCTGTAGAATCAAGGCATCCGCATAGAAGTCAATCTTCTAACAGAAGTCAAGGAATTCAGCCTTGTAGAACAACTGGAACTTACTAGTATCATTACAATACCCACTTATTTTATCCCTTGCTTCAGTATTGATTTAATTTGTTTCCCGACTGACAAATTAAATTATGTAAGATCCAAAGACCAGTTATGCATATTTTGATGTAATTTGTTTGGTAATGACCAGCAGTGGAATTCAGGATGAGGAATTTGACCATTTCTAGACTGGTCAACTGTATGTACCTGCATACCATTGAGACTTGAACCAGGTACTCACCACTTTAAACGCTATTAGGCTACTGGACAGAATCCATCTATCACTCTTGCGTTTATGAGCACTTGTGCGGTAGGCTTGATATTATCTGAAGACTTAATTTGAAATAATTAACTTAGTAGTAGTCAATAATAGAATCGAAGATGTTCACTTCTTCCTATTCGAGACTTATATATTAGTCCCATCGATATCCCAGTGTCCTTACACGGGCTCGAGCTCTGTAACTATCGCATCGAACGCTTAGCAGTTATTCAATTGACTATTTAGTGATGACAGTCAACTCTTAGATATTTTGATGATTATTTATGTGTTCAGAAGTTATATTCACACTTGTTTTTTGTGTGCTAATTTACAGGTATTCATGGATAAAATGAATCCACCTGAAATGAATGATGAGACACTGACGCAAAAGTATCTTCAACAAACAATGCAAAAGTAAACAACTTATCTACTTTAATAATATTTAATAAAAAGATTTTCAGCGGAACTGACTAATGGTCTCAAAGTAATCTTGTCTGTCATAGATTGATGCCAACTACAACAGTCATAGAGGAGGAATGAACAACTGTGAAGTCCTACTTATAAGTAGGTGTATAACCAAAAAATTTCGCTGGATCAAATTTAGATAGCCTTAGATTTCACTTTCAGCTAGATATGTACCATTCAACTTAGGGTCAAGATTCAATGGACAACATTTTCATACCTTCATCAGCTTTTTCATTGGTGCTTATTGATTACTGACTTTATAATTTCTTACCTAAGGTTCCAACATAAAGTTCAAGTCTATTGGTTCAATAAAGTTAGTTGTATGAAAAGTTATTGATCGATGACATTGTATGATAGCCATACTATTTTACAAATTGATAGAGGATCAACTGTTGAAATAGTCAATCAACTTTTGTATTTCAACAGAGAAGGCAGCTATTTTTAAAATAGAAAAACGTGATTGGTTATCACAGCAGTTGCCAGGATGACCTTTAAAGTCACTCATGATAGAGACTAAAAACATACGTCATCAGATTTTGAACCAATGGCTAAACAGTAAGGTAATTGCCGTAAAGTATGGAATTCCTAATATTGGTGCCTAGCAGTAAAATTCAATACGCGCATTTCGTCTTATTTGGGATTTATCAGCTGTTTGTATTTCGATCGCAGTGAGCGATAGTGTCCCCACTGAGACTCGAAGCTCGAGCTCACTGCTTCAAACGTCAAAGCGCTATTCACTAGGTCGTTGAAGCATGAGTGCCACCTCTTGTACAACAGGTATCAGATGTCGTTTGACAGTTGTACTCTTCTGTTGCTATTCTGGATTGAATTACTTGACATCTGTTGACAGATTGGCTCCTTTGTGGATGCTTCGATTGGATAACAGCCAAACTACATTATAAGTTGACAGGAACCGGAAAATATACTTCATCGAATTTCGAACCAGTAAAATACCGAAGTCCTAATGTTATAATCTGCTTGGTGGTTAGCAGTGAAATCTAGGATGCACTCTTCGCACTATTTGGGACTCATCAGCTGGTTACACCTGAACCCCAATAAGTCCTAAGTCTCAAATTTCATCCAGAATGAAAGTCACAAGGCAGAGTAACAATAATATCTTTTAAAGTATACCACATAGGCGATTTCATATTCATTGCAAGTCATCACGTTGGAAAAAAACACAAGAGATGGTACATGATTGAGGACTCTTTGAAGGTTAACTTACGAGGTGACTTGTTTTCTTAGCTAAAGTCTTGATTTTCAAATGTTTCAATACTACAGTAGGTGTTTAGTCGGTATACAGACATTCGTCACACATGGATACTAATATCTGATGGTTTTGTCCAGGTACAACATGATTGGTTCATCTTTACTTCTTTGGGAGTAGATCTAACCGGATTGGCTGATCTTTCATGTTTATATTCCATTCACATCATAGAAGATAGAATGACATGAATGATGGTAGTTATCGCGTCATGGAGTTTGCGTATTTCAGTCTTGCGTTAAACAGGAGAAAATATGAATTCAAGTCTATGACAATTTATTGGTTTTATTTCGCAAGTGAAAGCAAATACTCAGCGGCTTCACTAGATGATGGTTACCCTATGTTGGAGATTGACAGAAGTAGGAGAATATGAGTCATTGGACTGACAGCTCAATGAAAACTTGCTCTCCATGGGACCCGAAGGCCTTGATGGAGTCATGGGTGTACACTGTCGAAGAGTATTACACTAGGAAGAAACAACTGCCTAAAGCCTCCAGGTTTTCAGTATTTTTCCAACTTATGTCAGTCCATGATGAATACCAACTACTGTCTTGGTATGTTACCGATAAATTGTATAAGATACAATAAAGCAAGCCGGTGGATTTCCACTGACTGTTAACAATGAAAGGATTCAGGTCCTTTTATTCTCTGTGAATTAGTTTGTGAGATTATGAGTACAACTGCACTTGGTACCGTCGTTCACAACAGTTATAGGATCAATGCTAATGGAACACGGGATTACTGACTGAAAGTTCACAGATCTCTAAGTCTCTATGCAGTTTTCGGTGTCTAACATTATGTCTGACATATACATATGTGTTACCCACCGTCGACTAGTCTGAGTGCATAATTCAACCCTATGGGAAGCCACTTGTGACTCGAACAGCTTAAGGAGAAAGTCTTTGACTTCATCAGTAATTAACAAAAGCCTGAATCGTGAAGGAAAGCCAACTTCATCAAGGTTGAAGATGTGTTATACTGATGAAAGCCAATAAGCGCAAAATGCAGATCAGTTAAGACTATCTACTGACTGACAACGAAAAACATCATGTCACCTATTTAAGTGGTCATATAACAAATTTGATCCATTACTATTAAGGACTAAGAACTAGACAAGTATATTGGTTACCCACTATTGACCAGTTTGTGTAGAATACTAAGTTTACCGTAAGCCATCCTAACCCTAATTTGACGACACAAAAAACACCTGAAAACAAAAATTTTAATCGCATACAGGTCTATAGATTAGGCTACGAGCTATACCAATTTTGTCCTGGATAGTGTTACTATTTGGCCTGGAATACATTTACAAACTTCAAATCTTCTAATCACGTCTCTGCATAGCAGAGTATAAGGAAGATGAAACACATTTTTGACATCCTGCCGATGAGAAGAACAACTGTCAGCAGTTAATAATGCTAAAATATTAAAACGTCATGAGGAAATAACCTTACGATAAAGACAGTTTATGTAAATCTGAGAATAGAACGTTTGCTGATCGATTGTTGGTACATCTGGAATTTCTTTGAAGACACTGCATTATTATTGTATTATTATTTTTCCATTGGGTTCCTAGTGAAATATAGGTCTTCACTAGCACGCCTCCATTCCAATCTCTTCTCTGCATTCTTTTCAACCTGGCACCACCACTGCCCACAAGCTCTCATTTCTTCCTCACATGATCTCCTCCATGTCACCCTCATCTCGGAAGCCCAACTAGTCGCTTTCCCTTTGGCTTCCACTCGACAGCCTGGTCTGGGGTGTGATGTCCACAGTGGGCCTTCTCAGTGTATGACCAATGCAATCCATCTCCACTCTCTTCCACTCCATATTTGTTGGAAGATGAGTCCTTGATTGGTTCGTTCCCACAGTTCCTTGTTGCTTATTCTAATTATTCTGGTCATCTGATATTCAGTATGGAGTGAGCCAGCGTAGGCAGCAGTTGTTGATGAATGTCTATAGTTTGTTGGAAGTGTTTTTCGTGATGCACCAAGTTTTTGAACCATCACATAGAAGCACTGTTTTACTTGACTGAATTAGTGTTGAAAATCAGGATGTTGTTCTTTGTTCTGAGTACACTATGTACTACTTAAATGTATTCTTTTTCAGCAATATAAATCACACTGTCTATTCCATATTTTACATTTATTCTTTATAAAATAAATTATAGGATTATTTCTATTGAAAAAGAGATAAAATTGCAAACTACTCGAATGGCTGCTATGATTGAAAAATTACAAATAAAAACAAAAGAATTTAGTATTGATGATGGGATATATTCAGGAGTAAGTATCCTTTATTGTGGTTTCTTTTCATTTTTCAATGTACGTTTTACCGCAAAAACAATTTTAATATTTCTATCTGGAGGTTTTCATTAATTGATATTAGGTTGCAATTCATCATGAACTGACATCAGTTGGAGGAACATTGGAAACCTGAGAGTACTAGACAGCTGTTTCATGCTTGCATGGGACTCTTCAGCCGTGTACACTCATGAGTTTGCCAGGGATTGAAACCACGGACTTCAGGTCTTATGACCAGCATGTTACGATTGACCCACTAGGTTGCAATCCAATGGTCCACATTTCCTACTTCTGTAAGTTCATGATATAGCACGACCTACATCCAATGTCGTCGTTGATTAACTGTCCTAATGTTCGAGTTACAGACTGACAAAACTCAGGAATGTGGACTGTCGGGTTCCGACCTAGTGGGTCAGTTGTAACGTGCTGGTCATAGAACCTGAAGTCCCTGGTTTCGATCCCTGGCAAAGTCGTGTGTGTACCTGGTTGAAGAGTCCCATGCAAGTCCAGTGCTCCCAGCTTTCTAATGTTCCTCTAACTGATATCAATCCAGCATGAATTCCAACCTGAAACTTTAATATTTTCCTGCTTGGTACACATTAGAAATTTGTGTCTTATTCAATTGATGATTGATTTTAATCGTCTTCCTTAAGAATCTTGATGATCGCATTTTTTCTGTTATGATATAAACACTTTCAGGTGAAGAATCCTCTAAAGTGAAAAAAATAGCTTTATCAGTACAAAAATACTTTTCTCTTGTTCTACAGTCATATATGTAAAGTACTTCATTGAGGACTAAGTGTATTCTAATAACATTGAAACTACTGAATGACAGTCAGTTGTTGTTAATATATGTGGACTACAATATTAGAATTAGATATTACTGGTTATGATGACTGTGAAGGTCACTTTAGCGATTGCTGAAATAACCAATCAGCTTTCTACATTTTCGTTAGTCAGTTTACCATAAAATAAAGAAATCTGATTTCATTACCTCTCTAATTATTGTTATGGTTTGAAAACTGTTATGTCTTACGGCCGCTAACAATGCACGAATATCGAGTGTTAGCCATCAACTTTCAACAAATTTCTAGTTGACTCCCACACGACTAATTAATGGCGAAGACACGATGAACTTATAGGAACGTGTATTGGGGTCGAAAGACCGAAAACCCCAAAAAACAAAGGAAAATATATCTAATATATATATATATATATATATATATATATATATATATATATATATATATATATATATATATATATATATAGATCAACCTCCTCTGGTAAACTAGTTCTCTAGTTACTAGCCGGTCCTAAGCCCGGGTAAAAGGGAAGGTTGGGTATAGGGTTAGCAACCCTACACCACAAAACCAAACCAACCGCTAAAGAAACTTCAAAGCACAAACAAAATATTAAAAATAAAAACAAATTTATTCCTTGCTGGAATCGGAGGAACGAAATGAGCCGGTTGGTGAAAGCCTTCGAGAAACCAGTTAGCTGACGTGTCATCTCGTATGTCGATGAAAGCGAAGGTAAACATGGGGATATGGAATGTCCGCACGATGTTTGAACCTAGCAAGGCAGCCCAGATTGCAAACGAGATGAGGAGGTGCAGCGTTGAAGTGTTAGGAATTCGCGAAAGCAGATGGAATGGAAGTGGACTCTCAAAACTGTCAACTGAACAGTCAATAATCTACTCCGATATTGTCACCCAGACGACAACCACGAGCACACTCATGGAGTGGCTATCATGATGTCCCCAACAGCATCGAAGGCTCTCATACAGTGGGAACCAATCTCCTCTAGCATCAGGATCATGAGAGCAACATTCAACTCAAAATGAAGGAAAGTTAAGATCATATAATACTACGCTACGCACCTACAAATAATGCAGAGCATGAGAAGAAGGAGGAATTTTACAGACAACTGCAATCAGCACTGGAAAAGACCTCAGTTGCGCCATCAAAATTCTAATGGGCGACATAAATACCAAACTGGTAGCGAACAACACAGGAAGAAAACTAACCATGGGTCGAGAAGCACTTGGTGAAATGATGAATGAGAACGGAGAACTGTTTGTAGGTTTCTGCGCATCCAACGATTTGGTGATTGGAGGCAGTGTGTACAAACACAAGGATATTCGCAAAGCGACATGGACTTCACCAAACACCAGGACACACCACACTAAAAATCAGATTGACTTCATTTAGATGTGAAGAAAGTGGAGAAGCAGCCTACTTGACAGAAGATCAAGAAGGGGAGCAGATGTAGGTCCACACCACCCACTTTCTACTGCAAGGAATCTTCCAAATCAAGTTAAAAGCCTTCACAGAGGTTGGTAATAGACCACAGTTCAAGATGAACATTCGGAACATAAACTGAAGGACATAACTACAAACGAAGTCTTCACGTCAGCCATCAGGACAAAATGGGAGATATCGAGCGACATCACTGAAGAAACCTGTGGGGATGAACACTAGAACTCTTTGAAAGCTATCTAGAAAGAAACCTGCATAGCCAAGCGTATTAGGAAGGAGGAAAAAAGAAGATAAGGAGTGGATCTCGACCGGCACATGGAAGCTAATATAGCAGGGAGAAGAGGATGATGAAGCAGAAGATAACCCAGTGCAAGCATGCGCAACGACAAGAGGAACTGAGCACAATGTATAAAACATTACACTGGACAAAGAAGTGAAGAAGAGTGCACGGAGAGACAAAAGACACTTCTACGAAACATTGGCAAGTGAAGCAGAACAGGCTACAGGTAGAAGAGACAGAGACCTAACAACATTATATAAAATAACCAGGTTACCATCTGGGAGGAGGAGATCAATACAGAACAGATGAAACCAATAAAAGACGATGAAGGAGAGTTAATTACCAAAGAAGAGAAACAAACGAAACAATGGGCCGACCACTTCAAGAAGCTCTTGAATCGACCACCACCTGCAGCCCAGCCACAGAACTACAAGTGAACATAAATCCTCGAACAAAAATGGAAGTCCTGAATGCCATAAAACTACTGAAATGTGGGAAAGCAGCAGGGCCATATGGAATTCTGCAAGAAGCACTGAGAACAGACGCAGAGACAACAGTGGACATGCTAACACCACTATTGTAGAAGGTGTGGAAGGAAGAGAAGGTACCTGGCTAGTGATTGGAAGAAGGGTTACCTTGTCAAACCTCTGAAGAAGGGAGACCTCAGTGTTTGCAAGAACTGGCGTGGAATCACTCTCCTCTCCACCAAAAGCAAGCAAAATCTTAAGTCGCATCATCCTGGAGAGGCTAAAGGATGCACTGGATTCAAAACTACGACAGGAACAGGCAGGCTTCAGGAAGTACAAATCATGTGCAGACCAAATTGCAACGCGACACTACGCATCATCATAGAACAGAGTATAGAATGGCAGTCAACTCTCCACCTCAACTTTATCGACTTTGAGAAGGCCTTTGACAGCGTCGACCGAGAGTAATTTGGCAACTGCTTCAATACTACGGAATACCACAAACCTTTATCCGCCTCATCCAACAACTATATGAAGATGCCACATGGCAAGTAATTCACAATGTGAAGCTCAGTGATGCCTTCAAAGGGAAGTGAAGACAGGAGTAAAGCAAAGTTGTCTACTATCACAGACCATCTTCCTGATTGTGGTGGACTAGATCATGCAACAAACCATGAGGAGCGAAAAGAAGGGGATACGCTGGCTGGATCGCAGAAAAGAACCTAGAAGATTTGGATTTAAATCCCACCCTTATACCAGCTTTGTTGAGAATCCTATGTCAAGTTTCTGATGTACCTTCCTTGTAGGGTAACACGATGGAGGTCGTGAACTCCTTTCGTTATTATTCGTACTCGTGTTACTGTTATTATTTCGTTTCTTATGTGTTGGTGAGAATTTTTTAACAAACTGTAGAGCATAATTACTAACTATTAGTACTTCTTTTATGTGCTTCAGTCCATTGTTTAAGTCTTTGAACTGACTAGTCAGTTTTCTAGCTCTATCATTTAGACATTTGACTAAACCTGCCATAACTGACTGACATTGGATGAGATGACTTGAAGTCTAGATACCTGTTGGAATGTGTCAGTTTTCTGTAGATGATAGTATCCAAAACCACCGTCTATCCTTTATTTTATCCTGCAATTCAACATAGGTCATTTCTCCTTGTTCATTTTCTACTTCATAAGTGAATAAGATTACGTCTACTTTTGAGTTTATATGTATGAGGAAATTGTCGATATGTTCCGATCTCAACACAGTGGTAAATGTGTCATCCATATATCGCCACCACATTTTTGATGCAGGACTAAATGTGCCCAGATTTTATACCTATACAGAGTTGAAGCCAAACACTCGCCAGTATTCAACTTTTTACACACACTTGTCGATATCATTCAAAGCGTATCAATTACGAACACCTGGTAATGTTCCACTTTGAAAATCTAAACAGTTCAATCTATCATATGTAGAATTTGTCTAATTCCATCAATGGTACGAAGAAATAATGACCGAGGTTAGAAACTCGAAAACACTCATTCTGAACATCATCGCTCCCTAGCAGATGAAGGTGGTTTCTAAACCAGTGTGTAGTTTCATTGATTCTCTTTCTAAAGGCGAAATTTTAGGATTGCGTCGTTATGAAGTATGTTTATACTGTTCCTCAGTTTATACTGATCGTTCAGCTGACTAATTAAGAATGAAGTAGTTCCAAATAAATCAATCTGGTGACAGTACTGTCTGAGTAAATCTGAAATAAAAGCATGACAACATCATTTAGTATATGAGTCATTTCATCACAGTTTCAGTTGATTTACCGGTTAATAACTACTCACATCAGTTAGTAGTATATATCAATAAATGAATATAATAGGTCATTTCATTGCCTTGAAGGTAGAAGTCATCTGAAAGTGTCATCGCTTCCGTCATATAATATCATGTTCCATATGGAAATGCTATTTCTTTGTCCCGAAATCATACAATACTTGATTTCGTGCGTTTGTAAAGTTACTGGGCCGCTGGATGTAGTCCGATGTAATGCGATATGGCATGTCTGCACATGCAAAATAATGTATAAGCCATGTGTTTGGTCAACGTCTGCTGGTTGTTCTTGTATGGAATGATGTTTAAATAATGAAGTATAGAACTGAACTCATTATTTCACGGATAATGATCTTTAGGACTTCAGTAATTACTACAAATGACGTATTCGCTAAGGAATGTAGTTTTGAATGGTATAAAGTACGCGGAAGCTTTTCCTAGAGGGAGCCATGAATGCGGAGTAAGCGTACACGTAAATGATGCACAGGTTCATTATTTGAGGCCATTCAAAGTTATAATAGAGTTAAAGATTTTTCCCTGAATAACGGAGAAAATATAAAACTTCACTGCTGCAATTCGGGTGACCATTCAAGTGGCTTGGATGGTCAATTTGCAAATTACACAGTCCATTTTGATATTTCTCAGCTTGAATGGTTTCTAATTAATCAAGTTATCCATGAGTAGTAGTAGCTTGAGATGTAATTCTTAATACGGCTAATTTGTCAACAACCAGGCACGGCAATGAGTCAAGTCGTCGGGATGAAAATACCAAATAGAGATCCACAGTTTCAGAGCCATATTGACTTTTACTATTATACTGAAGCTAGAATATTTGTAGTAAATTTTGCAGTGTGAGACATTTCATGTATACAGACAGCAAATAACAATCATAATGAAATGAGCTGATACTGTAGTGAGCTCTGCTGATCAGAATGGATATAAGTAGTATATGTTGAGAGGGTGGTAGAAATCATATACAATCACCAGCAATGGGTAAAGATTCTGCCCAGAGAGATGCAAGAGACAATGTGGGCATATTAGGAGCAAATCAAGATAGGAGCAGAGGAGGAAATGAAGCATATTTTGCAAATGACTGTTATAGTGGAAGGTGGTGTACAATATTTGATGACTACTGTACAAGATGTCAATGTTAGTCTCAGTTTTCTCGTTTCCTACAATACAATCTCCGCTTATCTATTCTTTTTGGGAACACCTGAACCCATTACCCATATCAGCTACTAGAATTAAACCAATCAGGTAAAAATGTCTTCAGTTTAACCAGTCAAGGCTAATAAAATTGAAATCGAGGTATGTTCATACTGACTAGTGATTGAAGATGAAATGAAGACCTAGGCAGCGGCAGGATTCTAACCAACGACTTTCAGGTTACCGACATCGTACGTTACCAACTGTGCTATGAAACCCGAGTGCTGATTACTTCTTTACTTCAGCTCCTCAGCGTTTTTCCCGGTTGCCCTGTGAATCTGTGAAAGCACTAGCTGCTCACTCAGGTTTCACGCGTGACATTAAAAACCATTAAAAATCGATATGCTGTCACTGCATAACAAATTATACTCGATTTGAATTATGACGAGAAGACTCGGTTGAGTGGAGAACCTGTATAATCAGGATAAATGGAAAGTTACACATCACGGATGCTTACAACAGTCAGGCAAAATGCTTGGTGGTTGAAGTTAACACCTTTACAGGAGTTGTGTATCCCAGTTCAGTTGGTAGATCGCCTAGTTTGTAATCCGTTAGCCAATGGTTTGAATGCTGCAGAATTTACGAGACAGCTGACAGATAATCCTGCTAGATTCGGGTTTCGCACTTGTTGGTACTCGTCAACAATGCATATCTACAACCTTGGGGGAAATGATGGCCCTTGAGAAATTTGAACCCTCGTCATACAGTGCTGTGGTTAGGCGTGTGATCAGTTAATGTTTCTAATCCATTTGTACTGCAGGAGGTCATTTACAGTTCGAGTAGCTCGGGGCTGACGACTCTGGCTACAGTACTGGATGACTAGGATTTGAATGTCAGAGGGGAGTTGAATTCCTTAAAGGCTACAAAAATGCCTTGCTGATGACTACTAGCTAGAGCTTTCCTGGGGGATGACCTTCAACCATCCAACCTATAAACTGGGCTCAACACAACGTTTTACCAGTTAACTTTACATACTTGAAACCAACATAACACGTATTCTCCAGAGTAATGCAATAAGGATTTGTTCACATTGTGTCAGTTACTTTAGCTAGATCCCACCGTGGTATTGGATCAGGATAGCCTTATTGGAAAGTTTAGGACTTGAGTAGGCCGATCAGAATTAATTAGATAGTCATTCCCCAGAATATTTCTATGTACATTATAGTAGAATATATATTTGCTGTGTCTCTACTTAGAAAACGTTACTCACATTGTTACAGGTTCGTCCTCATCTTCTGATATTTTTAATAGCTCAAGGGAGCTCATTGTCTTGGTGTTGATAGTCATTGCTCACGTACGATTAGAGTGTTTCTGCTCGACTTGTATCGTTTTTCAGTTTTCCTTACAATCCACTTGATAAGATCAAAAAAGAAAGTCTGCAAACAATGAAACAAACAGCCATCGAAGCTACTCATCTACTTATCTGACATACTTTCAGTGATATAAAACTACTGATTGATTGGATACAAAGTGTGTAATTAAAACGGACAGTTAGCAGTAATGATAAGAAAGTAACTCAGCAACCTGTGTGATGAATTATAGAATACACAATTAGCCACACCTACGTGTTGAAGGTTCATGATACTATCTAGCTGGCCAAACTTCGGTGGGTAGGACGAGGTTCGAACACCTAACCAACTGGTTGACAGTTGACTACCTAGAAGAATGAGTAACCTACAGTTGAACAGGATAAAAACAACTAGTTACTACTCACCCAATAATCAGTAGTTAACTGTTATGTTCTTCACTTGATTGGTATGGCCAATGTTAAAGAGGATAACTTCAGTCGGATGTTCTTTTTTATCTTATGAATAAACGACTGTACAGATTACCAACTCGCTGATCCTAACTTTTATAAGAGAAATATAACTGTCTTGTGTTTCATAGGGATTATCATGAATTATTCTGTATTAGAGAAGCTTTCCAGCACTCCTAAATCTAGTAATAGATAGTTAGGTACACCATTTTACCCTCTGGAAACTGATGTAAAAGCAAGCCGGAGTTCACCTGACTTTCCTACCATAGAATCTAGGGGTTACGCATGCATCATAGCTAGGGTCTGTCTAGATGCACCATGATACTAGTAGTGAGTATGACATGACAAAAGGTAAAAGCTGACCAGACTAAAACATGGTATCAGTTCATGAAGTCTCTAAATGTTGATTTGTAAAGTGTAGGCAGATGCTAACTTCCTGGTTGATGTACACATGCTAACCGAAAGGGGTGGTTGCTGACTGTAGACAATATGGCTCAGAAGTGATTTCAGTGTTGATGTTAAGTGATTAGTCAATTAGTATTACATCAAATTGATCTCATTTTGTGTTTTTTCCTTTCAGCATATTCTTGGGTGGGATTCAGCTATGGATGTAGACTACGAAGTATGAAATAAGGTTATAGGCTATATTGAATATTTCTTGAATTTTCCCTCTCATTTGGAGCATAAACAGTCAAGCATTAATTAATGTTTAAAATGACATTATACTTTCATATTTAACAAAAAGGTTTTTGATAAATATAACCTCGAAAATAAACATGTGAAGTTTTGGATTTGATAGTGAGAAGTTTAGCCTAATTGGTTGCTCATTGCTTAATCTTATTGGTTGGTTGGTCAGTGACATTCAGTAATCTTAACGTGGTAATTGACCAATAGGTAACATCATTTCTTATCATGTTTATTTTTGGTTTACCTTCTTATATGTACCAGTATATATATATATATATATATATATATATATATATATATATATATATATATATATATATATATATATATATATATATATACCATTATATCTTAACAAGTAGTAATTATAATTTTGTAGATGGGAATTCCTTCATAATATATTACATAATTTCAAAAGAATAGAAATAATTATTACTCATATGGACTGAGTAATAGGATTAACATGATGACTAACACCTTTTCAGTCAACTGAAATCAGTTAATATCCAATCACGACTAATTGATTATTTTCTCAGTTAGAAAATGAACTGATCACACATCACTGTATTAATTTTATGTTTTGAAAACATTCCAGGTAAAAGTCTTCAAATGGAAGTTGAGTATAATTCACATTTAGTGCTGCAAATTTAAACATAAAAAACCTGACTATCACTTGAAAATATTATCACATAAAGTGTTTCATTTCAATATAGGATAAGTCTATCAGAGAAGATATCTCCTTCAATGGTTGCTATGTTGATGAGCATTGATTTGATTAGTGGCTGCATTTCACTGCTAGCCACCAATCAGACATCAACATAATGAGTAATCAAACAGCATCGGGGGACCCGCACAGGAGCCTATCTGCTAACAGAGGTCAAGTAATGCGGCTCTGTAGAGCAACGGCAGATGACAAGTATCAAAAAATAACTGATACTGACTGCAGAAGAGGTGGCTATCGTGCCTCAGTGGATACAGCTTTGAAATGTCGAGCGATAAGCACTGGGTTCGAATCCTGGTGGGAACAATGTGACTTACTGGGAGGCAGGCGCATTCAGCTGACGAGTCCTGGGTGGGATGAAATGCACCTCCTAGCCACCAAACAGACAATTTTTTTATAGGTTGCTAGTATGTATGTCGGTGAACCATCCTGACAGCACGGAATGGTGCAGCAAGACAGTCCAGGAGGTGGGTAACTGTCAGTAATTTTAGAACAACTGACCCACACATTTCAATTACATTAGGAAAATTAGCACACTTCAATGCAATTGTATACAGGTGATGAGTGATTATTAGGGAGAAGTCCATATCGTGTATTCCATTAGTGATCTACTATTTCTGAATAAAAACAAAAGAGGTTAGTTAACAAATGTATAACATGGATTATTGGACACAGCAACCTTGGAATGAAGTACAATTCATGTAAACCTTATTTTAGATATTACAAGTCATTCATGTTTGAGGCTGAGCTTGATCTATGGTTTCACATTCTGCAGTTCTCATTAGTAAGGTGTATATGCAAGCTAGAAGAAACACTTATACTCTTACATATTCGAACTCAAAGTCACTAATTGCAAAAGTCATCGAAATTACTATAAAGCTATTTAGACAGTAAGTGAATTATTGTAGAATGATATATTGTACATGGATTGGTCATTTTATAACAAGAATATTTAGTTGCCAATACACAGATATTGACAGAATCTACTGATTGAATGTAGCCTAATGAAGGATAAGTAAGTAATGGTCATCGACAAACACGTCAATTGAAATGAAGATCAAGAGGGTTCACTTCCAAGATGCCAAATACTGGATTACAGTAGAACAATCATAGATCTCTGGGAATATTGTCTGTTGATGAATTCATGTGTCAGCGTTTTTAACAGTCTCACCATTATATTCGCTGATGGCATGGGCTGCTGAGTACAACTCAGCAGATCAATATCTCTGTGGTGAAGTATTTGAAGTTTCACAAAGGATACGTAATGCATCAGTCAGGTGTGCTTTCATGACATAGTTACCACTCATTGATGTGGATGACTGACTGAAGTGACAATGTATGGTGTCAATAGATGAGAATCATGACATGTCGTGTTACACTTGAATGTTTGTCCTGAGTGTCAACTGAACACTAACTGGTCACAGAAGCTCAATAAACTGCATTTAGTCCAAGGCCAGGTGCTGGTTGGATCCAATCGATTATTTCGTAGTTGTGATCACTGAAGTAACAGACTGATTCACTATGGTCATGTCCTCTTGAACGATATTAGATGATCGGCGCAAATCACTCAGTAGTGACTTCACTAAATGTAGCTCTGAGTGACGTGGATTCGAATCTCTCAGGAGATATGATTTGCCTAAAGGTTACAGACACAACTCACTGCCGAATGTCAACGTGCATGAGAACGAAATCAGGCAGCGTTTCTTCTCAACTGCTTCAAACAACTGAAACTAAATGTCATTAATGACATGATTCAAATTATTGATGGAACCGAAATGATGCCGAAATTAGCTATAACTATTTACTTGTACTTGCAGTTCTCCGTTGTTATATTGGATTGAATTGATCGACTTCCGTTGACATTTGGGTTCCTATGTTACAAGTGACTTGATTGTGGTTAGGACTTGAGTTACAGACACGCATTTCGTCTTATTTGGGACTCATCAGCCAGACGAAAATGCACCCCAGTGATTGACGTTGTCCCCACCAAGACTCGAATCCAATACCCATCAGTTTAAAGTTCCTTATGACAATAAATATTCGGATGGTATCCAGAAATCCACACACGAACTCAAATTTCAACTGAGGTTTATCAATCCAATATGACAATATGACAATGGAGAATCGTAGGTACATCAACAAATAATGATAATAATAAAAACTAGTACCTGTTGTACAAGAGGTGGCCATCGAACTTCACTGACCTGATGGATAACGCGTTGGGGTTTGAAACAATGGGTGCAACGTTCAGGTCTGAGTTGAAGTAACATGCATGGGTACAGGTACAACCTAAGTTGGCTGTTCTCATTGTACCTGGGATCAACATCCATCAAGTTGCCCAGAGAAACAGTTCAGGTTCCCCATGTTTACCATATCTAGGACAGATAACTGGAATAGTTCCCATTTTCCCCACACTAACTCCAAATCTTCACAACAACTCATTACTTAAATTATAATATGAAAAAAAACAAGGATTTCTTGTAGCTTCAGTCAACCAAGAATCAGACAATCATTCACTCTTCTCTAATTGATCATTTCAAGGGTGGCACGATTTTTCAATTCGATGTCTAATCCTTTTTTAATCGATGAAAATTAAACGGTTTTCCTCTTGATTGAAGCAATTTACAACCTCATAATTACCAGCCATAATTGAGAAAATGATCAGAATGTATGATGATTAGAGGGGGGCATTGTATACAGTAAGCTTGAAGTAGACGAACCAACATCACTGTGAATCAGTCAAACAAATCATCAACAGGTATGTAGTGAGCAGAAGTTGTCGATCATTATTTTCACACTCTTCTTACACTAGCCAATGTCGAAAAATCAATAAATTTCTCAGAAAGTAGCCTTCGTTCTTCATGAAGTTTACCTATTCGATTTTGAGTTTGGCGGGGATTTATTGGTTTCAAGTTGGCATTCATCATTGGCTGAAATCAGCTAGAAGAATATTGAAAGCAAAGGGTTACTGGGTCGCTGTTCCATCCTCGCATTGGACTTTTCGGCAGTGAACACATGTGAGGCGACGCGACCGGGGATCGAACCCAGGACTTTCCAGTTTCACGTTGAGCATGTTGTCACTGAGGTAATGGGTCGGGATTCAATGCTCCTGCAAACTGACTTACTGTCTAGTGCTCATCAGTGGTGTGATTTCCTTGAGTTTTAGCGAAAAACTGTGATGGTTGGGGCAAACGAGTCGGACGTTAGGCCAAACACTGAACGATGACAATAGATGAGCTTTGATCCAGTAGCTGAATGGTCAGTGTGAGATGTTAAGCTCTCGAATTCAATCGCTGTTGAGGGTAGCAGATGCCTACGGCTGAGGAGTCTCATATCAGGACCCAACAACTGTCTAGTGTTAACAGGTTTTCAGTGATTCCCTAACCGGTATCAGTCCATGATGAGTATCAACCTGAAACTTACCTGTGACTTCAAATTGTAATCGGATGGCCGTTGTATAGCTCACTGAACCCTTTTACCTCGTTCATGTTAATCTATCAAGCATAAAGGGTACTCGATCAATGAATTGATATACATATCCATTTATCAGACCAGGTTTTTAGTCTAACCGTTAAGTACTGTATTGTTTTTTATGTTGAGAAAGTTGAGAGGCAATTGACTAGACAGTAGAATAGAAAATTCTTGTGTAACTTGAACCACCCGTTGAGTGACCTTGAACTATCCATTGTACTATTTAGCCAATAAACATAGAGCTTATAAAATTTAAGCATAGATTAACCGAGATATTAGTTTTTCGTTGATTGTCAAATCTGTAAGATTTTCTATGTATTTTAATTGCCTGAAGTCGAATGAATGGGAGATGGAGAACTTGTAATTTATGTGGTTTATCAGTGAGTTGCTGACCTTAACGCCAAACCTCATAATCCTTAACCGTTTTAGGTCATAGAATGGTATGATGACCTCTTTCCAGAGTAGGCACTGGAATCCTTGATGGTGGTATTAGAAACCAACAAATCCACTCTGTATGGGTTACCTGCCATATTGTATTCAGAGAATCCTATTTAGATAATTTATTCCCGGAATAATGAATAAATATTGTACTACAATCTCTGGCATCAACTACTGTCCTACCCATTGACTGAATTCGGTCAGAAAATATCAAAATGGAATATGACAGTGATGTGTATTTGTCACGGTTCACACATCTCACTTCAGCTGAACAGGATACCAGTTACCAAGATAAGAGGAACAGAAAGTGGAAATATCCCACTCAAAACCTGTAGAAAGTTGTACGAAGGAGAGATGGAAAAATAACAAAATTCCAAATGATCACTATGAAGAAGATAAGGTGTGGATACAATTGAGTCACTGCTACTGAATCTGAGTGATATCACCCAGA